TTCTTTAAACAAGTAGGAACCTCACTTTTAAATTTTAGTAGAAAAACCTTAGTGTAATGGCTATAGTCATCCAAAACAGTTAAGAAATATCTATTACCATTCCATGTTTCCATCTCAAAAGGACCACAAACATCTGTATGTAATATTTCTAGTTTTCTGCTGGCTCTAGTTCTTACGGTATTGAAAGGCAGTCTAGTTTGTTTAGCTTTTATACATACTTCACAACTTGCCTTCATACCTTCGTTTTCTATTTTTACACCATCCGCTACATTAGGTAAAATTTTTAAAATATTCTCACCTGGATGTCCTAATTTTCTATGCCAATTTTCTGCAGAATTATCATTTTCCTTTAATAAATATACTTGTTCTTCCATTTTTACTTCTTTTTCTAATTTAACTACAAATAAACCTGAGTCTTCTTTCTTACCAGTTATTACTTTACCATTGCTGCGAATCTCTACACCATGTTTATTAAATAGAACGGAACCACCATTCCTAACAATCTCTGGAACAGATAATAAATTACGCGAAAGATCCGGCACACATAATACGTTTGTTACATCACATTTAGTTCCAATAAAATCACCTACATACGAGGTCTGTCCGGAAAGTTCGTATAAAAGTGTTCTGGAATGCGAGAAAGAGGAGTGGGGAGGCCAGGTAAGCGCAGGACCTCTTCCTTATGTCCCTAACAATGCTTCAGTTCTGGTCTGACCGCCGTGCGGTGCGAACTGGCTTGTCACGCCATCTGTGAAGTTACCTCTTAACGAAACCCCGTCGGCATGGAGCCCGCTTCCGTTGAAGAGCAGCGCGTCGTAATCAAGTTTCTCTCGAAACTCGGCAAGAATGGCCGTGAAAGCAAAGAGTGGAAGACATCCGGGGAACCACGAACAAAAAAATCAAGAAAATCCCGCTCAAATGTCAAGACAATGTTGATTGTTTTTTTCGATGTTCGGGGGATTGTCCATCAAGAATTCGTCCCTCCAGGCCAGACAGTTGATGGACTGGCCGGCAGGCCAGACAGTTGATGGAAAATTCTACGTCGATGTGCTCAGACGCCTCAAAGCTCGTGTGGCACGAGTTCGTCCAGAATTGGCGCGAGAGGGGCGTTGGATTCTTCACCACGACAATGCCCCTGCCCACACCTCTCTTGTTGTCCGTGAGTTTTTGAGTAAAAATTCCATTACGGTGACCGAACACCCCCCCTATTCGCCGGATTTGGCCCCGTGTGACTTCTTCTTGTTCCCAAAAACCAAATTGGTACTTCGGGGGCGGCATTTGGGGGACATAAATGAGATAAAAAAAGCTACGACGGGGCAGCTGAGAAACCTACAACCAGAGGACTTTCAAGGAGCCTTCTCACAGTGGAAACGGCGTTGGCACAAGTGCATTATGTCACAGGGGGAGTACTTTGAAGGGGATAAAATTGATTTACCTGAATAATTGTAAAATAAAATTTTTAAAAAACTTTTATACGTACTTTCCGGACAAACCTCGTATTGTGACTTCATACTAACATCTTTCTTAGCTATACCAACATCAATAGTCTTAGGTTTGATATTAGAAAGTAAAGTTTTGTCATTGACCATATGTACAGTACAACCAGAGTCGAGAACAAAACTTTCTGACATTTTAATTGTATTACGGCTAGAGGCTAAAAAAGCAACATTATTATCGTACTTATTTTTTCTAAAAAAACAATCTTTCTCTTTGTGGTTAGTTTTCTTACAAATTTTACAGTATAAAGAATTTCTACAAAATTTTGCTATATGACCGAACTTATTACATTTAAAACACCTATTAGAAGAATGCGAGGTTATTGTCTGTCTATTATTACCTTCTTTTTTCAGCATTCTACCTTTATTTCCAGCAACTAAGGCCACTGATTGCACACTCTCCTTCTTCCTTTCTTCTTCTTTTACTAATCTCAATCTTAAATTCTTTAATGTTCTTTCTTCTTTAGGAGTACTTTCCCACGCAGTTATAAACGGTTGGTATGAGTCAATATTCGAAAATATGTTTAATATTTTGGATTCTACTAACGCATCATCAAAGGGCATTTTTAGTTGTTTTAATCTATGAACCAAATTTTCAAACCTTGAGAAATTTTCATCCATTGTCATATCATTTTCAAATTTATAATTATAGAAATCTTGTAACAAACTCATCTTTTTTCGTTCTTCCGATCCTTCGAATAAATCGCTTAGTACTTTATACATTTCATAAGCAGTCGTACAATCAAATAGTTGTGTTTTATATTTTTTTGATACTGTTTGAAGGATGATGTGCTTAGTCAAAGCATCTTTATTCGATTGTTCGCTTTCTAGTTTTATATTTACGTTGTCTATATATTGTATCAATCCTTTCGCTTCCAGCAGAATCCTTAATTCGAATTTCCATAACTGAAATAATGTTACATCATCTAAAATAGTGACTCGTTGAATTTCTTCTGCTGTTGCGACGGCCATTTTCAGATTGAAATTTTTCTTTTTACTTTTACTTTTTACTTTTAATATATTTTTTTTATTTCTTACTATATTTTATTTATTTTACGCGCAGAAACGCAAAAACTAGCCCATAACCTGTGATTTTACGAAATAATACAATAAAGAATTATTTCCGTATCAACGTATATTCGATACAAATTTTAGACAACTGCAAAACAATAGAAGAACTATATTCGAATTAAGAACTATTTCTTTTTCATATCTAACGTCGAACCGGTCTCCTCGAACTTAGCAACCCAATTCTTAATCGTTTGGAGAGCTGGGGTGTCATCAAAGTTGTGTAAACCTTTGTGTTCTCGAAATTTACGCCTCGCAACGGTTGCCGAATTGTTGTTTTGATAAAACTCGCGCACACAAAACGCACGGTCCGCACCGGTGAAACGCTCCATCGCGACTAAATTCCCAGAAACCGAAGTTACTGCCCCCGCTTCCCCTGCACCGCTCACGCGCGCCGTTTTCGTTTAATTCAAATTTTACTTTTCTAAGGACTTTTGGGCCACCCTGTACTTTTATTCTCTTATATCTTGTAAAAAAGAAATAGTCTTCTCAATTGAGTGAATAGAGGAATCTCTATAGGCGACGCAATAATTGCCGCGTTTTTTATGCGGGTTGGCAATCGCAGTTAATTTTTGGTCATGTTTCCTTGCGTCGCGTCTTCGCGTCTTCAATCCCTTGTCCATTAAGTCACTTTAATCACCTCTTACAACACGCAAGGGAAAGGAAAGAGTGATTCATTCCACAGAATGGATCAATCTTTCCTTTTTTTTTCCGGGATGACACGGCAAATAAAAAAAAAATGCGTATGTAGAAGTATTAGTTTGAATTTTATTTGTCTAGTCTAGGTATATGTTTATTTGTTAACTCTTAGCGCCTTAACGGCATCATCTACAAATTTTACGTACACGTGCTATTTGAAACGGAGAACGGGTTACTATTTATATCGGCTAATCAACATATCCAGGTAACGCGGACAAAGTCGCGGATAAAAGCTAATTTGTTTATAGTTAAATTACCTACATAGTCATAGTAATAATAACCAAGGTGTAAAAATTGTATAAAATAATTTTCGGAGTTCTTGCACGTGATACCTTATGTATACTATGGTTTAATTTTTTTTGTCTTCATTTAAATGGCGTTATTTCAGTCTTGAAGCTTTCCGAAGTGGAGTTAGGTAAAACTACCAAGAGCTAGGAGTAATATAGGAAATGAATGGATGGATGAATGGAAATGAAGGAAAAGAAAAATAAATTAAAGAGGAAAGAAAGAGCTAGACTTTACAATGAAAATCTGAATTGCGGTTCAATAATTTGCAAGTGAACAAGCCATGACGCGCGCCTGTTAGATTGTTCGTAGCAAAATGTACAGAAAGCGAAATTGAATGTCCGAAACATCACAATATGCCAATAAGTAAATGATATATTAATTCTAAATAAATGAAACTATTATACCACAGAATATTCGTGTACAGGAGATATAATAAAAAAGTTTTTTTAAATTAACGAAAATCTTAAAAAGAATGAAGAGGGTTGAACATTAATATAGAAACATTATTATGTATGTATATACAACGCAAGATTTACTGCTAATGTTTTATTAGTAACTAGCTGCCCGTCCCGGCGTCGCACGGGTGGACATTTTTACATTTTAAAAAGTGGCCATTAAGGCTGCACACGCGACGGAAGCTTCAAGATTGAGTAACTTCTCTCATTTTCCCAACATTTCCCTTCACTACTCTGCTATTGATCGTAACGCGATATTCTATAACCTGCCCAGGAGTATGAAGAATAATTATACCAAGTTTCGTTAAAATCCGTCGAGTAGTTTTTGTTTCTACAACGAACATACAGACGAACAAAAATTTTACTGATTGCATTTTTGGCATCAGTATCGATCACTAATCACCCCCTGATAGTTATTTTGGAAATATATTTCATGTACAGAATTGACTTCTCTACAGATTTATTATAAGTATAGATAGAAGATATATTAGGCAGTATTTGGACATTATACCCAATATTGTTTTATATTGGGTATATTGTCCAAATACTTATACCATATATATATGTAGATATTAACTTTTACCCACCCGCGAGTCAGGGATATGTCCTTCTCTGTCCTATATAATATGTTAACACCAAATTGATAATAATTGCCGTTAAAGCGCCATAAAGTAACAAACAAACAAAGTCGCTTTCACATTTATTATATTAGTAAGGATAACTTTCTGATTATATTATAAAAAAATTATGGCCATAAAAATACAGAATTCGCCCAACGAGTTTGACGCAGTCCCAATACTAAAGAGGTTACCAAAGGTTTTATACTAGTTATAACTAAATTTCCTAATTGGTAACTATTTAAATTATAAGTTATGATTCAAAATTGTTAATAAAATTGTTCCATAATTGTCGGAGTAATCGGTGGGCATATATAAAAAAAAATATATTCCTCTTCCTTTTTTGAAGTCAGTTAAAAATACAATTTGTACTCAACTATATTTTTATATATTTAATACAATTTTTTCCCATTATAAGGTTTAACAATAAAAATGATAAAATTATTTGGTAATAATTTTATCATTATTTTACCATAATGTGATAATATAACAATTAGAACAAAACTGTTTATGTATGTAACATCAGTACGTTACTGATTAGTAAGGGGGAAAAATTTAAGTTGGAAATAAGCAAGACAATTTTAAATACTCCAAGTAGCCTTTATCATATCTGCTGCTTTTTCTCCAATCATCATAGCCGGTGCATTAGTGTGTATTGAGACAGTACGAGGTATGATACTGGAATCAACCACTCGTAATCGACCGATACCGTATACTCGTAATTCCGGATCGACTACAGCCTGAGGGTCCCCGGCGGGACCCATCCGACATGTCGCGATTTGATGATGTAGCGTAGCAGTTAGCATTCGTATTGCACACTCCCAATATGCATCTGAATCAAACTCGAATGAACGGCACGGCAAATAGTCAGCTGGGTATATACGCGCTCCAAATTTTTGAAATGGTTCAGTTGCTGCTATTTTTTGTATATATCGAATTGCAGCCACAAATGTAGCTATATCAGTCGGATCAGTTAAATAATTTCCAACCATTTTAGGATAATTAAATGGATTTTTATCCTTTAGCTCTATATACCCTACTGATTTTGGGTGCAGTAACATTGGAAATGCGCTCCAAGTATCTGTATCGTCTATGGACCCGAACGCTTGGTCGAAAACTTGTTTTCTTATTCTCATGCCTCTTCTTACAGCTTTACTTCCACTCGGACCACCATCAGCAACGAGAGACCCTCCTATTGATATTAGTTCTATATCAGGAATTGGTTCTGGATCATTGGAGATAGGTGTTTTGATGTACCCGATACCTTCTACTGCGCCAGGAGTAGATAGTTCATTATCGCCATTTCGCAGCCAAGAAAAAATAGAAGTTAAAGTTATAGCTGTACTTTCGTGAATACTCACATTTGTAACATTAAGTGTAAATATAGTCCCGGGAAAGCATATATGATCATAAAGAGTTTTCCCTACTGGGAGATCTTCAATAACGTGTATATCTTTCGAATTTAAGTGATCCTTAGGCCCCACACCAGAAAGCATAAGAAGCTGTGGTGAGGCGATAGGTCCTGCAGATAATATTACTTCTTTGCGTGCGCTTACTGTATATAAACGCCCATTTCTTGAAAATTCAACTCCGTAAGCTGTTTTATTATATGGGTCTATTAATACTTTTGTCACTATAGTCTCGGGTAGAATGTGTAGGTTACGTCTTTTCTTTTGTTTGTGCAGGAAAACCTTTGCAGCACTAGCGCGATGACCCCCTTCTGTAGTTACTTGTACATAACCAAATCCCAGTTGGTCTGGTGAATTGTAATCTATTGTTGGATGCCCAAGAATTGCGCCAGCTTCAAGAAATGCTTTAATTAATTTCGTTCTGAAAAAGTGGAACATTTTTTAAATATAAAATCACATTATACTATTTTGGAGTAAAAGTTCTTGGTTGGGCCAGAAAATATTTGTTAATTGCAGTGAATACTGTGATAAATGAAGACTGAATAGAAATTAATTTATTGTTTTATTTAATTTGATTTAAATAATACAGACATACATATGTAAAAATATAATTGTCTTCTACAAAACAAAAACCAAATTCAAATGTAGTTAATTCAAACCACTTATTTTAAAGTACTGAACTAATTTTGATAGAATTTCTATCGGATCAGTCTGTAAGTATATCCTTTCAGATAAAAACAGAACTTTCCAAAGTGGTTTACAACTGACGGGGTTATAAGGTAACAATCATAAAAAAAATACAACCGAATTAAGAGCCTCCTTCTTTTTTAAGTCGGTTTGAAATAAATGCAAGGGTATATTAAAAAAATAAGGATAAAAATATTTAAGAAGTATTTGTTGTGTTCAAAGATACCTTTTTGGGACAAATTGTACTGGTAGAACGCCATTCCTATTTCTGCTGTGGTTCATTTCGTATCCATCGAGATCAGCTTTTTCTGATTTCTTATAATAATGTAGCACGTCGTTGTACGACCTGGAAAGATTATATATTTTTTTTATATATTTTTGTTAGCGTCATTAATTTGACATTGTGCTGACTTATCATCAATTGAGTTAGATGACTTGAATTTGTAATCGAGTTATTGGTAGTCATATTTATTATGTTACTCACACAGCCAGTTTATGGCGGTTATGACACATCATATTGTTACATTACTTTGATATCAAGCTATAACCTTACGCTGTGTTCGAGGTTACAGTTTGAATTTTATATTATACTCTTTTATACAACATAGCGACATAGTGGTAAACGTTTATAGACGTATTATCCACCAAGAATTATCTTGATGTACAGGAATATAAACTTACAAAGATTCTTCTATGACTAGCATCTCTAATTTTAAGCAAAATAACCATAATGCGTCCTACTTTTTCTTCTTTCTATAATATTCTATTTTAAGCAAAATAACCATAATGCGTCCTACTTTTTCTTCTTTCTATAATATTCTATACTTTGTGTAAGTGACTAATTACTCACAAATTAGTATCTATTTTTACACGACCACTTTATACTAAATATTAACGCCTTACTACAAACTACGGGGCATGGACCTTTTCATTTAAGAGAATTAAATTTTAACAATGCTCGTGAAACAGCTTATACGAATGTTTACATCTATTTAATTCACAAAGTGCGTCTTACTCATACCATAGCCTAAAGACTTCTACTGTACCCTGCTGCTAGAACAATATTTGCTTACCATCCATAGTTTCCATCGGCAGCTATTCGATCCCATTCTTGAGGTCTACCTCGTGTATAAATCATGTAGTTTATGACGCTAGTACCACCTACGGCTTTTCCACGTGGCCAGAAGCACCGCTCGTTTGTCATACCTGTAAAAAGTCTATGTTAATCATATTGAATTTTTTTAATTTTATCTGCGTAGTAGCATATTGTGACTGTGCTCTCATGAATTAGGATAAAACCGCAACTCGTACGCTAGTATATAAATTTGAGATAAAATAATCTTTGCTGCATTTTTTATACGAAATAGTTACCTAGTTATTATTAATACTACAATTTATAATTTCTTATTTTGGGTTCCAATTGTGGTTAAAAATTTGACTGTATAAGTAAGTTAAACTAATTAGTGAGAATTTACTCCAGTGACATTATATTACACCCTCGTATGCCAAGATGAAGTCGGTTTAGATTTTGTTTAGACTTACCCATACATACACCATGTTGCGGTTCCATATAATATTGCCATGTATAATCTGTCGCTTGAAAATAGGGTGCTAGTGCTGGTACGTCGGTTAGGAGCGTCTCAGGTTTGCCCGCCTCCAACAGAAGAACTGTAATGTTTTTGTTCTCACTGAGTCTAGAAGCTAAAACACTGCCAGCTGAACCCGCGCCAACTATTATGAAGTCGTACTCTGGCAGGGGTGATGTCAAACCTGAAATTTGAAATGATTCCCCACGTATATTTCTTTATGACAGTGCATAACATTTGATATTTTCGTTGTATTATCGTCAGTATAAACGAAGGTCTCTGACATGGCTTATCAGGACAACGGAATTTACGTGCCCTCCGTAGTATCCAAACAGGAATGAAATCTTGAAATTCCCAGATTGCATCCCAAAATGAAACAAGTTTATCAGCTTTCACTAAATATCTGATATATTTATACCTACTTACTTGTATATAGATTTTTAAAATACATAATAGAGAAAAAAGACCAGCAGTCAAATCCAAATAGACATGGGTACTCATGATCATGAATATAAATGTTATATTGTGAGGATGTTGAACTCGCAATTGCCAGTAGATATGGCAATGTGTTAAATCACTATACCATCACGTGTTTAATAAAAATTAATAAGCTATATTTGCATGGTTTACTCGTAATTTGTATATGTATACCAATTAAATTATCCTTAACATTTTATCCTATTTCTTGTTATATGGATATATACTACAGAATATATTATGTTATACCAGTTATACAATCTTACAAGTATTTTATATGTATAGTGGTTTTTTTACAATAACATGTTTCAAAAGTAACGGTATCTTTTTACTGAATGTGGGGTCAACACTCGCAGATATTGAGCCTGCGGTTGATATTGGTAATGATCAAAAAGGTATGTATATTATATATATATATATATATATATATATATATATATATATATATATATATATATAATTTTTTTAAGTAGTAAAGTAATTGTATATAACATTTATAACAACTTGAGGAAAATTTAATACTAGCATGTTCATACCGTAATATTAGAAATATGAAAGTGAGTATATTCGTTTGTTATCCCTTAACTCCTTAATGGCTTAACCAATTACCATGAAATTTGATATACATTTACTATTCGGGATTGAGAAAAATATAGACTAATTTTATTCCGGCTAATCAAATTATTCCGGTTACACGAATGGAGTGGAATGTAAAAATTTATCTTATATTACTATTATAATAATTTATAACTAAATAATGTCTGCACATACGAGATATATTTGAGGAAACTCGATATTGAAAGTCTTAATAAGATCACGTTAATGCTATTTCTCATAAGCTAGGCAGTTTTTAAAGTTAAAAAGATCAATAAAAGCCAAAATTTTTTTTTTATAATTATGTCTATTATCTTATGTTTCTTCCGGTATCACGCACCAAATTGGATGCAGTTGCGGATGCGGCATAGATTCTTAAAAGTCGAACTTAATTAGCCTTTGAGTCAGGTAGGTATATATTTTGTCTTGATAGACACGGTCTATTTTATTAATTTTCCTACTTCCGCAATCCACGCGTACGAATCAGCGGGGCAAAAGGCAGACAAATAAAAATAAATATTAATTTAGCTTTATCTCTTTTCAAGATATCCCATCTAATTTTTTTTTTAAATATCTCTTTAAGTATATTGTATCTTTATATCTCTCTCCATCTGATATAGACTCATAGTTTCTCTCTTTAAGTCATTGTTTTAGTTGGCACCGTGTATATTGATAACTGTCTTTAGCATTATAAGTAAGAACTATGTATGCACCTAAATATTGTATTTATTTTTCATATTCAATTGTCTTTTGTTCTTTGTAATTTTTAGGCTGATTGTTTTCCAGCCAGTCTTAATAAATAAAAAAAAAAGCATGAACGCTTTTAATACTAACTGCTTTTAGTAGGTATATTATGATTTGTAATTAATTATGACAATTTGTTTATGGTTGTTATTTTCTTATATTGTTATTTTTAATGGATGCTCGATATTACAATATGTTTCACATACTTTGAAGAATCGAGTATAGTATTGAAATTAGTGGATACATGATCATAAGTGAACCAGCTACGTTACAATATATTCTGTAATGTCCATGATTCTTCAAGTATATCAGGTGAGTCATCAGCTTGATTGTCATCTCAAGTTGCATAAAAAAATAGTATAGGTAGAATACACAGATAAATTTATTAGAGATAAAAATCTTACCGTCAGGCAAATCATATGAATCCCTCAAAAATTCGAAGTAGTCAGCCGTATTTATGCCTTTTCTGCCAAATGCTTCTAATATAGAATCTGCGATAGAATGTTGATATGGGAAAAACAGTCGCCCGTTTCTAAAACGATTCATTTTTGGATCCGAAAACAGATTATTGTTTGTTGTTTCATATTTGTTTTTAGCGTAACTTGACATCGTTAACAAGAAAATAATTGATATCACTTTGAAAAACATTGTCACTATCTGTATTCTTATAACCACTGGAAAATGTAACTACTGAAATTTTTTTAAAATAACGCGTGATCTCTATATGAACGATATGTCAGGTATGCAATGGTCTCAGTTGAGGATACCCGTCCGTATCTTGAACTACAGTTAAATTAAGGCGCCTAAACACTAACGGAAGTTATTTAAAAAGACTTGTCCATCACACATACTTTTTATTTAAACAATTGTTATCAATTTTTTATTTTTAAACAAACTTTAAATAAACTAATTGATAAACAATTTAAAAAAGAAGAGGTTCTTAAATTTTGTTTGTTTTAATATATTTTGTAATATCTTAATAAATTCTAAATCTATTTTTACAATTCTTTTTTATCGGAATTATATCTTTTGATTCATAATTAGTATGGGTTTTTGTAAAATATTTTTTTAATTATTCGAATTAATATACACATGCATGTCGATTTTATTTTGATATATAATAAATAAAAATTGAATAATTTTTATAAATAATAATTAAAATTTTATATAAACTTTACTTGCTGTACAGCTATAGCATGTTATACCTATCGTCTTAATACATTGTATATATTGTCTAACGAGTCGATCCTATTAATGAATTAATACATATTTGTTTTATGACTGTTAATCGTGAACCTTTGATGTATAATTTTTTAGCTTCCATTATTTTTCATAATAACATCAAACTATAACTCCGTGTTCATTAATATTAAAATTCTTCCAGTTCCTTTTTAATTTCCTACCTCGATTTCTATTTGTTTGTGACATAATGTGCAACAATAGCCCTAGTCAAAATTTTAAAAGTATGTCTGTAGGCGCCTTTATTGTAAAGGGACGCACTCATATAAAGATAACTGTAAATGTGGTAGAGATGTGGGCGATTTTAATTATATTTTCTTTTTCTGTTTCTTATATGATCATTTCTCAATAAATCTCTTCTTTCATTAATTATTTTCTACTTACATTTTATCCCTGTTAGCACACCTTGACGGGGGGGGGGGGAGGGGTTGTTAGTAATGGGGACTACCAGTCCCATTGCTAGCAATATACCCTCTCAGGTCGACCTCCCCGTGGTCCCTCCTGGAAACCATCGTGCTGAATGCCAGGTGTATCCATCACAATGGGCTAACTGAATGAAAAGGCATTTCATTCTCACTTATCATCCATCACTGGTGCTCCGCCAGCGTATACCTATAGCGCAGGCGGGGTTAGCATTCCATTTTCACCCAATAAAATAAAAAAAGCTCACCTTTACTCTTTGTTCCATAACTTCTTAGCTTCCTTTATTTTTCATAATAACCCCAATTTATAACTATTACTAATACCAACACTCTTTTTCGCTATTTAATACCCCATTTCGTTTTGTGTTAGTGGCATAATAGGCAATAACAGCCCTTTGCCAATACTAAAAAAAATCGGTATTATAAAAGAAAATACATCATAATTTCGTATTGATTGACTTGCCCGAAGCTTCATTTACATGTGACAGATGTTATAAACAGGACAGGTTATACTTGTAAATGACGCAACCAAATTATATGTTCTCTTGGGTTATGCAGCATTTGTCATATAATGTCTATATGCATACAATTTTTTTTCCTGAGTTAACAAATTTTTATTCGCGAGCAATTAATTTATTTCCTTTTTCTTTGTTCACCACATGGGAATTTTCATCGATTGAGAAAATTTTGTGGAATATTATGGTTTGTTGTATAGTTAAGGTAAATGATTATATATGATATGAGGTGTAAAAAAATGGTAACACTTAAAAAATTAAATTGCATATAGCATTAATAATAAAATTTGTGTGAACTGGCTGCCACATGCATGTAACGTTGCAAGCGGCGGCCATTTCTCATCAGATCGGCACCGACGTCGGCTTGCTATAAATTGCTACATAATTATATTTACACGATTTCTATACCTTCTGTTATTATCTCGTATTATAATTAGTATCGGAAAATTATAATCATCTAAAACTACAGTTCGCCACAATATTTAAGTTCTCTAGGGCCTAACATAACATATGTAACAAACAAACTAATAAAGTATTTGCTGTCCATACTTTGTCATGCATGTTCATGCAACGGCTTGGAACTCGGCTTAGTCCGTCGCATTTCGACGTCTCTCGATGGAGGGTCGGTTGAGTTTGAGGGGAGAGGTAGGTGAAATGCAATTTAAATCTATTTCAAACTATTATAAGTTACTTTATACTATTCTATTTTTTCACTTACATATTTTTCCATACTATTTCCTATAGTAAAAGAAGGAATAATAAAATTATTTATTAAACTTAAAACTATTTAACACGATTATTACTTATTATTCAATACATATAACATCAATAACATGATATATTAACATAATTCAATTATATACTATAAACAATAATATACAATTTCGAACATTAAAACAGAATTAAAAACATAACGCTAGACCTAGTAAGTACTATGTAAGGTTTATGTACGAAACGATTCATATCACTATTCGATAAAACTGTAACTGTTACGAAACATTTTTTATACACTCCGAACTATATGAAAACGGAACTATAAATTATTTCCAACACTGTATTGTATTCACTATAGGGCGGCGATGCAGTGGCGGTGCACTCGTCCGGAGTAATTAATTATTTCTAAAGCCTGAAGCAACAAGAAACATTATAATGTATTTGAAATAGGTGCTATGTAACATGTGTCAAGTTTGTTCCTGAGGATTATATTTTTTCATCTATTTAATGACTGATTTCTTTTTTTGTAAAAATGTTGAAATGGTCAACACTCTCTTAATGTTAGTTATTATTTCGATTTCATCTTGTATATTTTGAAATATTTTTATATTAAGGAGTTAAACAGTGACGCGTCATTTAAATATATAACAAAAAAAAAAAGAAAGAAAGAAAATGAAATGTCACATTTCTGTTTACTATATGTTGTTTCTGTCTGAAACATATACATATATATAATACATATTTTTAATTATGGAATCTCTAAATCACTTTTTTATTCTCGACTATATATTCTCATCTTAAAATATATGCGGTTGTTAACCTTTCTGGTTTCATAAAATGCATGTCTTTGATCCTTGATAAAATTTAAATTGCTTGCAGTTGTATACAAAATGAATAATAAGATTAAGATTGATATGAAGACAAGTTTGTTGCCCCCCAATAGTTTTTTTTATTCTGATGTGACCTTATCTTGTTAATTTATTTTATTTTTGATTGTAATCTTTTGAAGAGATTAATAAAGTGACAATTTCTCTATGATGCTTAATAATTTATAATATAATTAAGCTAATAAAGATGAATAACTCCTTGTTGAACATAACAGAATATACTGTATGTTAATTATGTCACTGGATTTCAATTCACCAATGCCCCTGAAATTGTACAAAATAAGGTGGCATATCCACTTAATAGATATTCCGTAAAGTCCATGGAATTTTTATTGTTAAAAGTTACATAAGTACACATTATATTTTATTGAAATAACTACTGGTTTCCATGATATTTGCCTGGAAGCAATGGCTACCACTTCCTGTGAGATACACCGTTTCCTTGTGGTCAAATATTTTTTATACAACTTTGCATAACAAAATGCAAGCTTGTAGTAAGCTGCTATTACTTGCTATTTACTATGCTTGTTACTACTATAACGGTAACATTTTATCCACAACAGGTTTATATTTTCAGGTTTAATCTATCTTTAAATTTTAATTTAAAAGACAACAATGTATGCATTGCTATGTATAGATACCTATATAACTAAAATTCATACAGTTCAAACCAATTTGTACCCTAGGCTCAAAGCGGAATAGTAGTGTTGCGTTAGCACGTAATTTCAAATCCTTCATAACAATACTTGTATGGTGTTGTGCTATTGAATTTTTCCGACAAACCAAATTATAAATACTAGCCACGTCTACTTTATATTATTGATGTTGCATGCTTCTAACTTGGCGCTGAGAAGGAAATAGGTTGTTAGTATAACTGGGGCCGAAACTCATCTTTGAATCGATAATAATTGTTAGAAAAACAGTTAAAGATTGATCGTAAAGTTGCGTTATATGTAATAGTAATCAAAATGATTTTTAATTTTTTATTTCCATAGCTTCGAGCTGATGTTATTTTTCCTCATCCGACTTGTGGCATTCTTCAAAATCCCAACTTGATTGAATTACGTTAATCAATGTTTTCACATCCTAGTGTAATCTTGGAGCTTAGATTTTAGAATGCCAGCTTTTTTTAAAAGTTACCTCACCGCAAATAGGTCGTCGTTAAAACGTCATATAATGTAAAGGCGTTTTGGTATTTCATTGATATAAAAGTTTTATTTTTCATATTTACTTTTGTATGTATATTACTAGTACTTTTATAATTTATTGGTATTAACTAATTACAATTAAAATATATAAGTCTGTTCTAACTCCAAGTCCGTTTTATCATGTCAGCTGCTTTTTCCCCAATCATAATTGCTGGAGCATTCGTATGTGCCGAGACCGTACGGGGTATTATGCTCGAGTCGACCACTCGTAATCGGCCAATACCGTAGACGCGCAATTCTGGATCAACTACTGCCAATGGGTCATTATCGGGACCCATCCGACACGTCGCGATTTGATGGTGCAATGTAGCAGTAAACGTGCGTACTGCGCATTCCCAATACTCGTCAGAATCAAACGTGGTATTACGGCATGCTGGATATTGTGCTCTATGTATACGGGCCCCATATTTTTGAAACGGTTCCGTCGCCGCCAAAGCCTGAATGTGACGTATCGCTGCTATAAATGTTGCTACGTCACTTGATTCCGATAAATAATTACCATACATTCGCGGATGACTAAACGGATTATTGTTCTTCAACTCCAAACGTCCCACAGATTTTGGATGCAGTAACATCGGAAATGCGGTCCAAGTGTTTGTATTATCTACTGATCCATACGCCCCATCGAAGACTTGTTCGTTAATCATCATACCCCGTCTTGTTGCTTTACTACCTAGTGGTCCCCCGTCAGATACTAGTGAACCGCCTATACTTATCAGCTCCATATCTGGAACGTTATCTGGATCATTGGAAACAGGAGTTTTGATATATCCAATGCCTTCTGCTGCCCCGGTAGTTGCCACAGGACCATCCCCAAACTGAAGCCATTGGATAATATTATCCAAAGTTGCTTCTTTACTTTCGATTATGCTTAAATTTGTTTCATTAAGCGTAAATACTAAACCGGGGAAAGTTATATGATCATACAATGTAAAACCAACAGGCAAATTTTCTATAACTGGGATTCCATGACGCTGTAGATGCTTCTTCGGACCAACACCTGATAACATGAGTAATTGAGGAGAAGCTATTGGCCCCGCTGACAATATCACTTCTCTTCTTGCTTTCACCTCGAACCTTAATCTGTTTCTAACATATTCCACCCCGTTAGCAATTTTAGTTTGAGGATCGATAAGTACTTTAGTTGCTGTGCTCATAGGTAGTATATGTAGGTTTAATCGTCTTTTGTTCGGGTGTAGGAAGGCTTTGGCCGCACTCATGCGTTTGCCTGCTGTAACCGTTGCTTGTAAATAACCAAATCCGAGCTGCTCTGGACTATTGTAGTCTATGGTTGGATGACCCAAAATCCTTCCAGCTTCCAAAAAGGCATCAATAAGCGGCGTCCTGATAAATAATAATTTATTTAAATTAAAAAATTTATTATAATAATTGTTGTTCTTTGCAGAGCAAAAAATTGCTTGTTGCGGAACTAGCTGTACTTGTAAATACATGATTATGCGTTCTAAATTCAAATATTTTTCAGTGTAAAGTGTTCGATTCGTATCAAAATTAAAATTATGCAGTTTTGAAATCTTTCGTGATAAAGAAATAATTTGTTCTATTATAATGACAACGTTTCTCTATTAACTTTTAATTTGACTATAACAACTTGACGGTATGAGAAACAACAAAAAAATTGTCATGCGTAAACAAACATTATGTTGTATATTTTATTATTTTATTACACTGATTATAGGATTATTAGCATAAATTATTTCCGTTGTTTAATCATCATAGAGTCTAGAAAGTTTACCTGAACGATACGAATTCCACATTTAATTCTCCTGATTTGCCTCTATATGGAGAATTTTCGTAGCCTCGCATGTTGTTTTTTTCACTCTTCATGTAGTAGTTAAGTACATCTGCATATGACCTGGATTTAAATAGAGTTTGTGTTAAAACGTAGATAAACAAAGAAGCTAAGATAAATAAGTAATGGTAATAAGTCATACTTCATTAATTAATACATTTTGCTTTATTTTTTTACAATGTATTTACGTTTTTACATTTTGGGAATATATATAGATACTTGTAGGTAGAATACTTAGACAATGCCCAGGCTAAATTAAACAGTCATATTAATGAATTCTAATGTTTTTATTATGCGGGCATCGAACCCTCAATCATCGGAAAATAAAGCCGTATGTTGAAACAAAGGTCTTCATTATGCCAAATACCTCTATTAATATGTAAGGTTTATAAAGGCTTTTGTTTGGCACTCCGTTCTTTTTGTCTACCCGTTTGTATTTAAGATTATTTTCCTAGCCCCTTAAAAATATATTTAAGGCATAATTATACATGTTCTTTAGTAGAGCTGAAAGCTCCACTCACCCTCTGGAGTATAGACGATTAATCTAAACACTAAGAAAGCCTTAACAAACTGGTATAGGTTTAAGAGTTTCGAGAAATAAAAGCTGATTTTACATGAACATAAAGAACGTTAACTCTAATCCGACCAATATCAATGTATTTATAGACTCGTAACTAATATGCCACAGATAATCATATTATAAGTATTTAAGAAACTATTAGTTGCGGAAGATCAATAAACGTCAGTAAAACAAAGCAAAGTATCAATAAACGTCACTAAAACAAGTCCCTCTAAAATTAGTATGACGATGACCGCGGACTATATAGAAGTTTTTATTAATCTTCATACACAAATATATAAACACAATAAATAAATAATCTAAGGAAGAACTCTTTTATGAGCTACACACGGGTGTGAGTTCTGTGATGTCCATTGCGCTGTTTCTTTTTATAAGATCATTACCATCGTTCAGATTGGTCAGGATTCTTGAAAACAATACACAGATGCAGTTCATAAGGAACATCGGTCTTTAGTTGTTCAATAGGGTATTGACAGGAACACCGCACCTTTACTCCACATCTCGGGCATAATACTATTTTGGATAGCAAAATTAAAAGCTTCTGAATGACACAAGTATTAGTTTTCTACCGGCGCTTTGTCATTTTTAAGTTGTTTAAAAGCCATTTCAATTTCGTTCAAACAGACATCTAGGAAATCGTCGGTATAGTGTCGGATGACTTTAGCGCTTTGGTCATTATTCGCATTGGTATGCGATATCAATGATGTGTACAGCTGTCTATAAACCTTCTCAGTCTTACTTTAAATTTCAGATATGGCGGAAATTATATCACCGTTGTCGGTCTTTAACTTTGTCAATTAACTTCGTTCAATAGCCAACTGGCAAATGCTGGAGGAGGGGGGAAGGGATTGTTAGTAATGAATCTAATTGACTCATTGCTAGCAAGACACTCTATCAGGTCGATCTCCACGCGGTTTCCCCTAGAAACCGTCGTGGTTAATTCTAGTGAAATACGTAACGATGGGCTAACTGACCTGCCTTTTCATCCTCACTTCACATCTCATTTGCCTATTCAATGTATGAATATGAAATAAATATGAAATGCATGCATATTTAATTGGAGTATGACACGCTGTATGCAATTGGAGATCTGCCTATTAAACTGCTTATCTATCATATTGGTTCTCAAAGTTTGTGCGTTATACTTTGCCAGGTTTATTTACTTTTGTTGGTAGACAAATCTGTTTCGGAAATTCTTCGTGTCCTCTGCTACATCATTACCATGACTTAGCAGTTATGGTAATGCCTAACAAGGATAGCTCCTGGTTAGGTATTACCGAGCTGCCGGGGACTAGAAAGCATTTTTTCCTGATGTCCGCCATTGGGTAAGTTTTTCCAGTAATTGCTACGCGTGGGATGTGATTAGCAACCGCAATTAGGCTCTCTGTCATCTTTTAAAGAGGTTACTGTTGTCCATTAACTTCTCCTAGTCATAATATCATATAATCATAGAAGAGGTTGCCTATACTATGTAGGAAGTACATGACAAAAAAAAACAATCTAGGAATCATCTTCGAGTAACTGTCAAGTTCCATGTACTTGTTTCTACGAGTATATTCTAGTATTTGGCATGAAGAAAGACTTTGTCTTTCTATTTTTTATCTGAATCAAACGATATATCCTGTGTGTGGCCTCACGTGGACAAAGGTTTGGAAATGCTAGTATTGCTAGTAATTAATATTGAATTAAAATGAAGGGGCAAACAACAAAATTATCGTACCGTTACTAACGTAACCATTTCATGAATTAATTTAAATGATGTATTTTGCCAACTCAGAGTTGGACAATTATTCTACTATGATAATGATTATCAAGTAACGTACCATCCATAGTTGCCATCGGCTGCAATGCGGTCCCATTCCTCCGGTCGTCCTCTAGTATAAATCATATAATTGATAACACTAGTTCCGCCAACGGCTCTTCCGCGTGGCCAGTAACATCTGTTGTTAATCATACCTGTAAATAATCATAATAACAATATATAAAAGAAGGATATTAATATTGCTCTAATTATTGTTACCAGTCGGTTTATTTCAAGCGTAGACTTTAATTTCGAGATTTTAAACTACTTTCAAAATAAATTTCTCAATAACCTGTATGATGTTCCTGTATAATAACGTTACGTTACGCAATATTTTCGCCGTTTCAGTTTATTCATTGGTTACCTTCAAAAATATATTAATAAGTTCATTATGATGTTTCGAGTTAATGGATATTTATTTATAATTTTAAATATTAATCTAGAAAGCTATAGGTCTACTATTGTTATCTTCGATATTTATTATAGTTTATTATGTTGTCCACATTAAAGATTGCATCTACTTGTCCTTTTGCGCGGGAGTATTGCGCTTTATGTTTTTTTTTATTATGATTGTAAAAAAATTTAAGATGATAATAATCAGAGGAGAAGAGGAGAGATGAAGGAGGATTCATTCGCTTAATCTAAACAAACAAACTCACTTTCACATTTATAACAATAGTAAGGATTTGGTTTTTTAGATAAAAAGGTACACTACATTAATATTACTCATGTATATTACCTATATCAATATATTACTTATCATGATTACTATTTTTTTGTCCTTAATGAATATATTATATATATATATACGCAGACGAAGACGCAAGTAAAAGTATGTACATACCTAAACAAACATCAGGTTGTTTTTCCATATAATACGGCCAAGTGTATTCTGTCCTTTGGAAGTATGGCGCTATGCTCGGCACATCAGTGATTAAGGACTCCGGTCTGCCAGCTTCTAATAATAGTACAGTCACATTGGGATCTTCTGTAAGGCGAGCGGCAAGCACTGAGCCTGCTGAACCGGCTCCAACAATTACATAGTCGTACTCGGAGAATGGTGACTGAAGACCTGGAATGATTGATAAAAATTTTTAAACGATTTCGTAAAGATTTCAATTCATCTGTATGAATGTTTTATGGCTATGTTGCACAACTATGTTGTTAATTAACGTCCTAGACGTTTTTGCAGTCAATAGGGTTTACACTCGGGTTGGTCCTATATTTATTTACGTACCTGTAGTTATGTATACTGCTCAAATGGACACAATTCAACCCTTACGTGCCTGAGATTAGTGATTAGTATCTCTCGTACGATCAGGCGCGCAAATACAGTTGTATGGATACATGTCTTGGATCTTGAAATATTATTAGTGCTTATTATTTTTTTACTATATCAAATGTTGAAACAACGGTAAGGTATGGTATTCGTTTAATCTTGAAATTGTATTTTATGTAAATTTACATGAACATCAAGTAGAGTTACATAAAAGACGAGTATGAATTGATACATATACTATGAACCAAATATACTTGCCGCATATTTGGTTCATAGTAAGTAATTTAAATTATCTATCACAAAATTCAAGATAGAGCTGTTACCCTACCGGTGCCACTACTACGGTCATATCGAAATCCGGTCATGACATAGCACACATCTGGTTTTATGAGTGCAGGAATTTCGTAAGGTATTTTTTGTTTTATGCTTACTAAGATGCAATATGCAATTGCACTGCAATTTTATATTAATATCTTAGATTAATAAGGAATGGTAACACTTGTTATAATTATGCAATGTACAGTTAAAATTGCACATATATTTGCAAAATTGTATCATTAAGATAAAATAACTAGTGATAGATGCTTACTTTACTTGCCTATTTTATTTTAGAATTCTGAACTGATAACGGAATTCTTAGAGTGTAAAAATAAAATCTACAGCACGTATAGAATAAGTAATAAATGTTTACTGTTATAAAAAAGAGTTGCCGCTGCCCTTATATTGACTTCACTAAAAAATTAAACTGCAACCATCTAGAAATATCAACACAATAAAATAAATGATTCTTCATAGTATTGTACAACTATTTATATATATCTCTAAAATAGCGATGTCTATAGATATCACAATTTAATAAAAAAAAAATCCTACTTTATAGTACTAAAAACATATCAAATTCATTGTACTGGTTGCATAGATTTCATATAAACGTGATTTTGTTCGAAGTGAGGCGGGTCTGATTTTTGGTGGGAAATACATATTTTATTATTTTTTTATTTGTTTTGCGTATCGGAAGAGGTAAATGAGTTATACAGTCATGCCCATTGAATTTTTTTTTTTAATAAAATTGCATAATATCTATGAACTAACAATTATTTGTTTTAAGGTATTTTGTTTTTTAAATGTTTAATTTCATATTCACATATTTCGTTTAGCTTATTAAGTAATATTATGTTTAACATTGAGGTAGGTATACAATTAATTCAGAAGACCTCGAACATTTTAAGAACAATTGATTATTTACGAGTATAGTGATTAGAGAATATTACACAAAAATGATTTCATACGAAATTAGTTTTTAACCTTAATTTAATCTTTATTTAATGTAATAATTTAAGAACACTTATGAATTTATTTATACTTCATATATTTGAAACAAATAAAGGGCTTTAACCTCTTACATAATTAGTTTACAGAATTCGCTCTCTCACTCTCTCGCTCACATGCTATCATGACAATTGTCTTTCTTTTTACGTGATCAAGCATTGATTAATGCCTCAGGTACTAATTTTAATCACGGCTATATTTTGATCTATGATTTTTCTTTTTATCATACCCGTAAACAGGTACTGTCCTAAGTCGATGAACATACCTCTTGTGTTTTTTTACTGGAGCGTAGCATGCACTCTATGCATAATCAAGATATTTATCTTGACTATACATAGACTCAAAATTTGAGGATAGATTTAGATTATGAAAATACTTTATATTAAGTCTATGAGGACGGTACCTGGTGTCCTTGATTGTCCTATTAACGTATTTCAAATATATAGGTAGTTATTAGCAGGTATTATTTTTAATCTATGAGATATCTACTACGTGCCTTTGACTAATTGTCTTTTACGAGTAGGTATGTGCCGAATCTTAAGTTTTGTATTTATGTATGTATTTTTTGGTTACGTGTTTTTTGGATATTTTTTTCCTTTTTCATTTGTCTGCGTCAGTTACAATATTTACATACATTTTGCTCTTCATTTAAATTCATTTGTGAAAAGATTTCTAAATATCTCCATAGCATATTTTAAATACAATTGGGATTTAACGCGATGTAAAAGCCTTTACACGAAAATAGTACTTACATACCTGCTTCTTTAAACTTCGCGTTAAGTTCCGATTGTGTATTTAAAATATGTGTAAACAACGCGAAAGCTTAAAATTAACTATCTCCATAGTAGTATCTATATTATACTTTGTAAGTAATTTTTATTCAAAGTAGTTCCAATTAGTTTTTAGCAACAAGGAGCTATTAAATTATATAGTACTTAAATAGTACGTTTTCGGTTGTGTATCCTTATGTGGAAATGATTGTATTATCTCATAGCGTAGAAAAAAAATCGACACCAGTAGACACCATGGCAAAACACCCATGAAATAAACAAATTAGACATTCCATCACTTTATGAGAGCACTCAGAGAGATCTATGCAGCAATGGCAAGAGAGTAATGGCGACGTGTTACAAAGTACATTACAAGAGTACATGTTAGAGTAGTACGAACTGCTTAAGAGATGATTATTACCGATTGAGAAGTTTCAAGATAACCTTTCTAGGTTATCTTGAACCTTAATATACCCGTAAATTGTATATTAAGATTTCCTCTGGGTCAGCAACGCGCACGAGACACCCTTAGTTTTGCAGGTGTCCATAGGCTACAATAACCGACGAGAAATTACTATCAGACGAGTTGTATACATGTTTGCCACATTAGTGGAAAAAAAAATTATATTTGGACTTAGGTAAAATTTGGTTTGGGAGTTCCTATATAAAATATAAATAATAAAAATCGTAAAATGTTTAGAACGTTAACAAAGACGGTTTTACAGATAGTATTTTTAAAATAGTAGCGGAAGAAGTTTGCTATCAATAAATAGTGTTAGGTTTAGGTTTTTTATTTTATTTGCACTTATTTATCTAGTCCACAAATCTCACATTTATATGATTATTATAGATAATCATAAACATAATTATTGGAAATAAATATTAACTTACCATTAGGCAGTGGATATTTGTCCCTTAAAATATCGAAAAGGTCTGTTGGATCTTGTTGAACAAAATTAGGTGCTATTGTTTGAGCTAACATAGTCATCAATGGTGTCTGAGGAAATGATTGGTTGGGTCGTTTGATTTTTCCATTTTTATTAACTTTTTGGCCAAAAATAATTGTTATAAGTAGTAAGGTGTATAATACTGATGCACCCTTTAACATTTTTGCTATTTTTTTTTCAATCAGGTACCACAGTTATTTTTATGTACGGTTATAGGTATGCACTCTGTGACAATTTCATGTATTTCTATTTTAAATTTTCTGCATTTTCTACGACCACTAAATTTAAATTATCCTAAGATTTAAATCGAACTCGCGTGCTTCATCTTAATTTCATGTTAAAAGTGATACACTTCAATAGTATAATTTAAACAAACTACGCACTATTACAATTTATATTTATTATTATTAGAGGATATTTAATTATTTTACGATATCTGCAGCTTGAGCTGGTCGCGTTTGAACTGGAAATCGCACGCGACTTGGCCCTACGCTTATAATTCCGCGATACACGGTGTTGAAATGGTCAATCATATGTGTCAATCGATTAGAAACTGTACTGTTATGAATATAAGATAAAAAATCACATGTCCGATGCCAACTATCGTATAACGGTGCTACGCGAAGATTGTGGTCAATATGACAGTATCATAATAGCCAGTAATTTTATATTTACAGAAAATTATTTTATGATAAGCAGTCAATATAATAATTGTTGTAGTAGTTATTCATAATTTGTTTATATTACATACTGGGGTCGTAAATAATCTTATTCTATGTTTAACCAATAACAAGGTAACGTAACTAATAAACGAATGTGACACAACTACGAGTTTTAACAGCCCACGAGACTTCACTATAAGAATTCTACTATTACTATAAATGCTAAAGTTTGTAGGGATTGATGGATTTTTGTTACACTTTCATGTAAAAACTACTCAACAGATTTGAATGAAATTTGGTACACGTATAGGCTATATACCAAATTCACACAAGATACTTTGAATAATTCACGCGAGCAATGCCGCGAGAGTAATTATTATAGTGAAGTAAATAAAATGACTAATAGAACTGTAATAAAGCATCAAACTCTATTTATACTAATATTATAAAGAGAAAAGATTAGATTTTTTTGTTTGTAATGGATAAACTTTAAAACTACTAAATTGATTTTAAAAAGTATTTCACCTTTGGAAAATTAAATCATCAGCGAGTAACATAGAATATATATTACTTTTGAAAACTCTATTTACGGATAGCTAGTATCAAATATTACTAACTAGTATACCAGTTTGTTTTAGTGTAGTGTTAGAGTTTTTTTTTTATTTTTTATTTTTTTATATAACTTAGAATGGCAAACAAGCTGACGGCCCACCTGATGGAAAGTGGTAACCATCACCTATAGACATGAGCAGTATCATGGACATAACAAAGTATACTGTTTCGCCCATGATACCCCCCATGCGTTGCCATTCCTGAGGACTCGGATGTTATTCCTCCGTACCCAGTAAATTCACGCCATATCCCACCCTTCAAACCGAAACACAGCCATGCAAATACAACTGCTTTACGGTTGAAACACGAATGGGACAGAGGTACCCAAGCAATCGACTTTTGTACAAAGTCTCCCTCAGGTACTTATATGTATTTGCTAGTTTTTTGGCTGTTAATTTACAAAATGTGTAAGGACTAGCTTACCATAGTCTATGCCCTTTATTCTCCCACATATTACATGTATACCAAATTTGAAGCCGACTGGGTGAGCTGGTAATGTGCTGAGGTAATAAACAAATTAACAAACTCAATTTCACATCTTATTTTACTAATATAATTAAAAAGTAATTAGACATTCTATGGAAGATATTTAAGATAAATTGATTAGAGGGGCCTTAATAACAGTGATAGAAGCCAAAACAATATTTTTACAGTTATTGTTTGTCTGTTTTTTTTTTTGCATCATACCAGCGCCAAATTAAATGCAGTTTTTTAGTTGTTTTTTTAAAGCTCACGTTTAAAACCTAATTAAGGAATTATCTATTTCCAAAATCCAAGCTTACGAAGTTGCGAGCCAAAGCTTGTTTATAATATGTATTAGCGAAAATTGAATTCGTGAAAATAAAAAAAATCCTGTATTTATTATAATTTTAATTTCTGTTCATGGATATTCAAAACTTTATTTAGATATTTTTTCTACCAATTTATGTATATTTTGATGGTTGTATACGTATAATATTGCAATTACAGAGCTGAAAGTTTAAAGCGTATTTACATGAAACATGTAACAACAATTTTGAGGTTTCTTTTTCTAATTTATGTTATATCCAGGTATTGTTGCACCTGGGTAGTTTATTTTTTAAATCAAATTAAATTTTAAATCAAATTGGATTTACTACAATTGAATTCGATTTTTTTGTGGAACATAATCTTTCCAGGTATTGTTGCACCTGGGTAGTTTATTTTTTAAATCAAATTAAATTTTAAATCAAATTAGGTTTACTACAATTGAATTCGATTTTTTTGTGGAACATAATCTTAAATTATACATTACTAATTTATATATTGAAATCTGTATTTCGTTGGACTTACTAATGTAATGTCCAGTTATTATTTGTTGCTCGCAAACGCCTACTGCTTTTCTTCGAGCAGATATGATCCGGATATTAGTCCTTAGGTATGACACAACTTGTTGGATATCTTGAGTGTCTCTGTGTATTCTAAAATATGATGTCTATGGTTCTGTTTAAGTTTGAAGGCGTCGGTTACTACTTTTCATTCGGTAGGCTGTAGACATGTCTGTCATTCTAAGTTGTAAAAGTCCGAAACATACACTGATTTAAATATAAAATAAACTACTTGTTTTAATATTTAGACGCTATATATATTTTTCATTAAAATAATTTCATCGATGACTAAATACGAGTACAACGTCGTAGGCCTTGGCCATGGTGGTAGTACCACGAAATCAACGATGGAGGTGAACTAGAGTTTTAATGACTAATGATAGCCATGAGTCAACTCATTAAAAACCCCTAAATAATTTCAGTGATTCATTACCTATTAATCTTTACACTAAATTTGTTACGGGGTAGACAGAGAAAGAGAGAGCATACTTATAACATGTAATATAATTTCGAAACTGTACATTAAATGTTTATTATAAATGTATGTACTTTTGGATTATCGCTAAATTCATGCTACAGTTTATAAGATCGCTTATATGTAAAACGGTTTCAAAGTTTTCTCTTGTGAACGCTCAAGCTATGGTAAAAAAAGATTTTTCCTAGATACTTAAGTTATGAATTTTTTTTATATTACAAAGGTGGCAAACGAACAAACAGCCCGTCTGATGGTAGTCACTGTAGCTTACGGTACCATATTTGTGGTAATAAAAATACACATGATAATGAACCGAAAACAATGTTTTTTTTTAATGTTATGTTAATAACTTTACTTAACAATAGATGACATGTGGACACTTACTCTTATCTAACTTTAATCTCTAATGAGAAGAATGTGACTATAAAAATATGATATTCATAAAATTTTGCTAATATTTTAATTAAAAAAGAGTTTTTGTAATTATTTCCTAGTATTTACACTGGGCCCTAGTGAAAGGTACCCCAAAGGCCTTGTACGAAACCATTCTCCCAAATAACATATTTAACAAATTTTGTAAGACTGATCTCGTAATTTTTTAAGTAGCCTGTACAACCAGAAATGAGGCTGTGGAGAATAATACGCAAGGACCAGACCAGTGTAGACATATCTTGATCAATATTATTTTGTACCTGCCATCTTTTACTCGCGACTTTGTTCACGTGAATGGGATATGTTGATTGACCCTTTTTGATTGATTATGAGATAATGAACATAAAAAATACAACAGAAATTAGAACCTCCTTCTTTTTAAAGTCGATTGAAGACACAAACTATTACTTATTTTAATATTGTTAATTCTGCATCTACAAATACAAAGTATTAGTTCTTGTGTGTTGGAAGGAACTAGCTTACAAGGCACAGGTTATCCTAATTTGTAAACTAGGGCAAAAAACATGTAACTGTGCAACCTTGTATTTGTTAAAAAAGTTTATTATTATTATTATTATTACTCAAAGAAAAATAACATAAAATAATACAACTACAATATTGTTAACATAGAACTAAACATAGATAATTAGTATACTCGTATACCAAGTATATTATAAAAAAAATATTGTGATAAAGAAGAATTAGATGTACGATAAGAAATGTGAAAGTAATATAATTAAATTGTGTTCCACAAAAAAAAAAAAAAACTGACTTCAATTGTGGCAAAACCAGTTCTTTTTTTTTTTATTTAAAAACTAAACTACTTAATTTATTTTGAATAAAAATTCTATGGGGCTAATCTGTAAGGATATCCTTTCAGATAGAAATGAACTTTCCAAATTGGTTTATTGACTAGTATATATTATTGGTAAATTAATTTTGACGGAGTTATGTAAAGGACAAACCAAATACAACTGAATTGAGAATCTCATTCTTTTTGAAGTCTGTTAAAAATACATTATTGCTCAAAGAAAAAAAGGAAACAACATAAAACGGATTTAATTAGTTAAGGTTAATTTGTCAAGCCCTTTAATACGCCAAGATGCAAGTAACAAACAAATACTTTCACGTTTATAATATTGGTATGCATTACATTCATATAAAAGTATAAAAAGACATGGTGGTGTAACGAACTTTGGGTTCTAGTTGAACTTCACAAATCTGAGAAAGTTTTGTCTTGTTTAGAGCCTGTTGAAGGTCGCGTTTTTATTATTTCGTGGTTCATTGACTGATTTTATATTATATTGTGATTATTTTATATCATTTACAAATTATAAAACTCAAATTATCCATTATTCTCCACAGCGATTTCATTTTTCAATAAAAATTTCTCTATTCCATTTCTTCAAAATTTCACCAAGGGATAAAATTTTACTCCAAATTGCAGAAAAAAAAAAAACATCACATTTGATTTTCAAATGTTTGTTCGAAAGTGCTTCACGACGTTTAAGGCTGAAAAAAATTCATAATATATTTTTCTTTATTAGCAAATGCGCTAAATGCTCACCTGATGTTTTATAACATATGGACTCACAATTATTGCAGGCGCACAATATAAACATTTTTATTTATGAGTATGACTGTATGGGTGTTTTCTATAAACAATATATGTCTATTTAATTAGATGTAATTATGTCTAACACAATAGATCTCAAAAAGTCGTAAAGTTACAGGTGTAATTGCCCTGATCTACCAATAGTTGAAACATTTTTATTCTAGCCGGTTGTTTATTTTATGCAATGCTTTCATCCCTCCTCTCTAAATTCCCTCCTATATCCTCTTTCAGTCCACACTTCTCTCTAATCATACTGATTGTTTTCTGTTGGGGAATATATCGTGTAATGTATACAATATGTAATACTAGCAACGTATTTTATATCTGTTTATTGCTCTTCAAATTCCAGTAGGCACTTGAGCTTTTAATTTTCTTTCTTTTACAAGGTTAGTCGTAAAATATATATACTCGAAGTCGAAACTCAATGACTGTGTTATTGAAATTAATCATTTGTCCAAAAAAGAGTAGTCAAAATATGAAAACATTTTTCAACCTTCTTCTAAATCGCTTATCGATTGATCATGACCACGCGATGGAAATTTTTATATTATTTCGTGATTTTAAATTCGTACTTTGGAGGTTTAATTTGATGAATGCCATCATTCAGTTTCGGCTAGGTATAACCCTTTACCACTAACTTCATATAGGACCTTTTAGAACAAGTTTTATTTCAATTCGCGTTATTTTGGTCCTAAAAAAATAATTTTAAAAGTGTATTTATTATTGTGTTCATGTTTATATCGTCTATGTGCTGAAATAAATAGATAAACGGTATGAGGTTATTTTATATTTGTGCCACGTAAGTTTTAGGAGTTTAGGAATTTTTCAATTTCTTTCTTGAAAATTGCGACGACGATCTTGCATCATAAAAACTGTCGCAGCCTTAATCTATGAATTGTCATTTTATTACAAGTAATTACAAATAATAGTAAGCATTTTTTTATACAATTTAGAATGGCGAAAAAACTACCGGCCCATGCTATCTTTCATGTGTTGCCATTTCTAAACATGATTTCAGTTATATCTCATTATGCAATCTAAAACACCAATATGCAAACACAAATTCTTAGCGGCAGAAATAGCATAGAGCAGACAACAACGAAATAGCATGCAGACAAGTTTTATACAAGAGGCACTCTTTGTACTGTCGTTGTAAAATGACAGGTAGTCATTCTAAAATGACAAGTTGTTTTCATAAGTTTTGTACTATCATGGACGAAGTCATACTTGCAGTAGGTAAAACTTTTCTTATTAATGTTAGAATGAGTTTGATACCTCTTGGTGCATTAACCATTTTACTAATGCTCACGAAATTTGTTATACACATACATATATTTGGAATAGGGAAAAATATAGTTATGAGTATGTTATTTTTTATCGCGGTTAATCGATATGATTATCCAAATCACGCTGACGAAGTCGAGGGTAAAATTAGTTTATTCTTTGTTATTTATTATAGCACGATATATAACACGATCCTGAGTAAACATAAAGACTGCGATTAACCGAAAAAAGAATATTCTTACTCTCAACGGTTTGCTGCACTATGTCGGTTTAGTAAGTGCTTTTTCACGTTACGTTTCAAGGTTTACAACCTGGGAGGTTGTAGGACGAAGAAAAGACATCATGGATAATAAATAGTTATAGTTGATATATATGGATGGAAATGAAACCACATTGAGATAGAAAAAAATATTTGTAATATTTAATTTAGCTAATGTATAGCTTATATATTATTGTTATACAAAATATTGTAAAAGATCCTTTGTATCATTTTGTTACGGAATTCTAAAAAACCATGATACACAAGCGGAGACTAAAAAAGCACAGAAAATAAAGTGCAGTTAACCAAATTATGCACTTATTTCTTAATATCTAATGACGTTTATAACAAAACATGTTAGTAGTAATATCATAACAATAAATGGTATGATACTAAACCAAAATTTTGAGTTTTACATGGACATGTATTATTAATGCTCTCCTCTCTAGTATTATTTATTTATTAACTCTTTATTACACTCAACATATAAAAATGTACAACGACAGAAAATTCATTTGATTGAAATACAGTAGGACAAAAGTAGGATATTACAATATTAAATTATTAATTATTATTTTATTTAGTATGAGCTCGATGGTAATAGCAGTCTCAATGTCTATCAAATTATACAAGGCAAATTCCTTATTAGATTACACACTGGGTGTTTGAATGTTTTCCTAAATAAACATGATGACGACGAAAAATTTGAGCCTCTAGTACATCCTTTTGTGTAAGGCGCAATTTTGCACATCATGTGTACCTGAAATTTATGACGAGGCCTGTCTCAGGTCTAAAAAGATTAACCTTTAAGTATTAACGTGGGGCTTAAGAGTACGTAGCAGATTGATTAGTTGTTAGATTTACCTCGTCTCTATGTAAGAAATCCTTAATACATGCGAATTTAGTTGCGCCGATGTCGTTAGGGGTGATAGTAGTGCTAGGGAATTTGATTTTGTTAAGTTATGCCGTTTTAAATTGCAACGCTGCATCACGTTAGTTTTTTGTTTGAACTAAATTGCTTAAAAAAACTGGTATTAGATTATATAAAGCGAAGGTTACATTGCCTCGTGAGTTTCGTATGAGTTAAACCAAAATACTTGGTTCTAATATGCCAAATAGAACTGAAGGACAAGTGAATAAAGAAAAATCAAGAGAAATATGTGTAAAATATAAATATTTTTCTTGATTTTTCGTCCATCTAAGGACGAAAGGAGAAAAATATTTAGTGAAAATTATTTTTTACTCGCATGTTATTTTTTTTTATTTCGTTAAGAGTCGTGATTTATATAAAAAAAAAAAAACGAGAGGGATAATTTAATGTTTTCATATTTTCTTGCATTTATAGATTCCAAAGTAATAATAAAAATGATAACTTTATACAAATCATAAATATTTCCTTTCGGTAGCTATAGCCCAAACCAATATAATAGGAAATTTTCAATAAAATATTTGCTCCAATTTTTTTTCCATTTTACACCCAAGATGGGTTAAAAAATTACAAAATAATTTGAAGAAATGTTCTTTTGTTTAAATTTTACGCTATATAAATATAATACCTGATACCTACTGAGATGTATAAATAATTATCAGTCAAAATTATTATCACTATTCTCATCTATGTAATTCTTATAGACGTCATGATATTTTATTCTGATTATACAATAAAAAATTGCGTAATACGAATATCAGTCCGTAGATTAAGAGCCTGCTCGTAGCGTCGAAATTATGCCCTTATCTGAACCATACATAAATTGATCAGATTATATTTTTGTGTTCATCGTATTACCATCATCATATTAGCTTTTAACTGTTCACTGCAGAACATAACCCTTCCTCCGCTTTGGCAGGCGAATTAGCAACCGCAGATAGAGATGTTTTAAGAGGGTCACTGATGTCCATCTTTCACCCTCTCTTAATCGGCTTTTACGACACCCGCAAGAAAGGATGTGGTGGCCTATTCTATGCCAGGACCACACGGCGAAACTTTATGTTATTTTAGGAAGTAGCCTATTTGCATTAAGGTCTAATTATTTAAATTATGTCAGTGGTGACAGTCCAGTTGGACAGCATTGTCCGTGATATCATCTTAACATCGATTTTCGGAATTTTAAATTTAGAAATATTAATTTCATCGTTTTCAGAAAACAAATAATAAATTTAAGGGTTATTACCTTGTTTCTATATTTGGATTATTTAAAATGATCAATACCAGTAGCTGGGTGATTAAGTAACAAACATACAAATTCAATATAATGTGGAATCAAACTGTTTGTCATAAATGCCATGCAAAAGGTAAGTGATCAATGTATTCGTTTGTTTCTAAACTGAATCAAGACGCTGCGACGTAAAGCACTGTGCTTACTCTGAAGAAGATTTCTGGATGTTGAAACAATCGTCGGAAATGAGATCCAGAGCGAGACTTTGTACAAAAGTCGATTGCTTGGGTACCTCTGTTCTATTCGTGTTTCTACCGTGAAGCAGTTGTGTTTACGTGCCTGTGTTTCAGTTTAAAGGGTGGGGTATGGTGTGAATTTACAAGGTACAGAGGAATAACACCTGAGTCCTCAGGAATGGCAACGCATGGGGTATCATGGGCGAAACAGTATACTCTGTTATGTCCATGGTTATGCTCATGTCTATAGGCGACGGTTACCACTTTCCATCAGGTGGGCCGTCAGCTTGTTTGATAAACATAGTATGTTTGTATGTTCCCGTTATACATATAGACATAAATTAATAAATTGTAATAATTTGATTATTGTTCTACTATGTTATATTTACTTTTATTATTTTGAATGTTCGTAAAAAAGTTTGTATGTTTATTATTCATGAATAACGTTAAAAAGGTGAACCAATTACAAAAAATAAAACCGTGGTCTAGGTTAACAAACAGAATATTGTATATCCTACTTCAGCGAGCCTAGTCGCAGTATACAGCTGTAAAAGTGAGTGTAATAATCATATTAAAGAACTTCGATTTCGAAATTTGTTACAGTTTTCGTATTCTCTAGAAATAACTAGTTCCGTCGGAATCTTATTCATTTTGCTTTACGATAATATAACATCTGTGCTCTTTTATTTTCATGTTTAGCTAATACAAGTATCTTTACCTCATTTTATGTACATCTATTTAACATTTGTAAATTCCTATATTTACTAAATAAATAATAAGATTGTTTTAATTACCTATTTAACATCACAGATTCAATGGCATTAGTTCCTAAATAAGTCTATTGTAAGATTCCCCAATCCTGTTTTATCATATCTGAACCTTTTTCAGCAATCATGAATACTGGGGCGTTTGTATGGCTCGATACTATTTCTGGCATGATACTAGCATCGATTACTCTTAGATTCTTTATACCATGAACTTTTAATCTTTCGTTTACAACAGCTGATGGATCGTTCTTATCTCCCATTTTACACGTACCACTCTGGTGGTAAATAGTAAAAGTAAACATCTGAGCCTGGCATTCAAAATATTCATCACTTCCGAACGGTCCATATTTAAGACACTCTTCAATAGGCACGTCATACAACTTTGTACCGAGTTTTCTTAATGCAGGTTGTCTTGTTATATTTATGGCCACTTTGATTCCTTCCACAATTTTTTGTAGATCTTCTTTATATTCGAAATAATTCGGAATTATTGTCGGGTGTACTTTAGGATTCCTACTTTCCAATAAGATCCTTCCTTTAGATTTTGGACGCATTAACATTGGGAACACCATAAATGTTTCTGCATTCTGTAATGGACCATATGTATCTGTAAAAATTTGTTCGTCGAATCCAAAATTACGTGGCAGCATTGGATCAGAGTTCAAACCTCCAGCAATAAATAGCAATTCTAGATCTGGCCAACCTAAAGGATTAAATTTATCATTTAAATCCATAAAAACTAACGCCTCACATCCCCCAGGTATTGACATCGGTCCTTTATGGGTTCGCATCCATTTAAATACTAATTCTAAATGATTAAGTATGAATTCAGTACTCACTGATGTATTTTGCGGATTCACTGTAAATTGTAATCCTCCTGCGGCAATATGATCCATTAAATTGTATCCAACGGGCAAATCTTGGACGATTGGTATATTTAATGATTCTAAATGATCTTTAGGTCCAATTCCAGATAACATTAAAAGCTGTGGCGAATTAATTGCTCCAGCTGTTACGATTACTTCTTTATTTGCCAATATTTTATGTTTTATGTTGTGTTTTTCTAATTCTACACCTATTATTTTTGTTTTAGTGTCATCAAAGAGAAGTTTAGTGACCATACTACCTTTGCTGAGATAAAGATTATTTCTTTTGCGAATTGGATGTAAATAAGCTCTGCTTGAGCTATGCCTAGTTCCATTTTTCATTGATAGTTGCAAATAAGATACGCCTGAAGGATTTGGCCCATTATGATCGCCGTATTTAAATCCAAACTGCTGGGCTGCTTTTACCCATGCCTTGGCTTTTGTTGTACGATAAGGTGCATGTTCTATACTGAGATATCCGTCGTATCCGTGATATGCTTCATTATCAAATTTTTTTATACCAAAATTTTCAATTTTTTTGAAGTAAGGCAATACGTCATCCCATCCCCAACCTTCATTGCCCATCTTCTTCCACCTGTCGTAATCAGCTTGCATTCCTCTTGTGTAAATCATGTAATTTAACACGCTAGAGCCACCAACAACTTTTCCACGTGGCCAGTTACATTGTTGGTTCTCAAAACCAGCACAGTACTTATTTGAAGGTTTAGTTTTATATCTCCAATTTGCGGGTGTGAATTGTAGATAGTTAGCTACAAGAGGAATATCCATGACAAAATTTTCATTAACTCCAGCTTCAATAAGTAATACTTTCCATTTGGATATTTCCGTTAGTCTATTCGCAATGACACATCCTGCTGTTCCTGCTCCAACGACTATAAAGTCGTACTCTGAGAAAAGATTGGCTTGATCAGGCGGTTCATTGTCGAAATTCCGGCTACCTTCATTCAGAAAGTTTAGGAAAGACGATACAGGGTCGAAGGTTTGTGTGCTTGTTTGTGGTAAGATGGTGATCAACACCCATAAAGCCACTAAGTTCAATGCCCGAAACTGAGGCCTCATCTGAAACAAATAATAAAATGAAGCGTGAGGGATGCTTTGGATAAAAGGACCAAAAATAAATACAAGATTATTGTTGCTGGTTAAAACAGAACAGATCATATAGTTTATTCAACGAAATTGCGTGCATTTTAATTAATCATAAAGCCTTCGTTTGTGGTTCTTACAAGTCGTTGGGATTTTCCTTTTATTTCGTAGTCTACAGATTAAATAATAATAGGATGTTCGTAAATCAGACCTACGTTTATTTTTAATACGAATATTATCAAAGGAATAATACACTACCATATGGGGGAAAAGGACTGTTAGTAGTTACTAGTCTCATTGCTAGCAATATGCCCTGTCAGATCAACTTCCACGTGGTCCCCCCTGGAAACCATTGTGCTGAATTCCAGGCGTATTCATCACGATAGGCTAATTGACCTGTTTTACCTATCATCCCTCACTGGCAACCTCACTGGCGTATATCGATAACGCGGACAGGAATAACAGTTCCATTGTCATCCATTAAAAAAATTTACTACCATATAATATTTCCAGTTTTGGTTAAAAACACATTACATACAGTATGTACAGAGCTATGTATAATTTCGTTACAAATTATAATGTATGGGCATTATTTTATAATTTATATTTTGTTACTGAGTATTATATTCATATTGAAGATTTTGAGCATAATCATAATCATATTCATAATTGGCTTATTCTAATCCACTGCTAATATAAGCTTCCCTCAATGCCTTCTAACCAATGCGGTCCTTTGCTTTTTATCCATGTATTGTCTTTCCGCTGACTTGCGGAGATTGTCCGTACATTTAGAGGGACGTCGACCTACAGCACGTTTTCCTGTACGGGGCCTCCGTTTTAATAGTTTTCTCTCCTATCATAAATATTCATATACATTATTTATAATATATTTGGTGTATAAAATATACGTAAGAATAGAGGATAGTCCTATTATAATAGAAGGCATTCGGTTTTCTCTACCTAAAAGTCTTAGCGTGATAACAGAAGGATATAACATTATTAATTAAAAGAAGAAATTAATCGATTAAGGTTATGGCTCAAAGGATATGAGCGCACATATTTATTTAAATTCAATTATAACACACAACAAATTATTTACAAATATCGAACACGTACTTACTGTTTTTTTTTTATTAGGAAAATTCTAATTTTTAATGATACTTTTTTAATTCAAAATACGTTTTGACCTGTTGACTGACGACTATAGCTACAGGTTGCGTTCCTTTTACGGGAATTTAGAAATTAAGAAAATAAAATGTTAATAATGTTTTTTAAAAAAACATAGATTTCTGTTGTAATTGATATCCAAATAATTTTGCTTCTCGCTGTTTTAAAATTAAGTAATGACTTTCTTGCCAAATTTGGTGAGAGAAAGTGTACACTTTCTGAACAAGAAAATAATAGGAATATTAAATCTAAAATCGTTTTGACATATTTACTTGTGTTTACTGTCACTTAATTCATATTAAATTGAACCTTGTAACCGTTTTCGCGATACTTTTTAAGGTCACAAGTTCTTTTTTTTGTTTATATTACTCTTAGTGTCATCTGTAAATTAATTATCTACATGAAATGTATACTGTGCTAATGCACAATTGCAGTTCTTTGCTTCATTAGTCATTAGCTGTAGCAGCACTAAAGAAATCTAATATACAGTTTTTGTAAGGCTTTTAGAGGTTTAATGGACTATAATTGTCCCGTGTTTATTTGGACTTAAAGTTTTTGTATTGTTCATTCATGACTAGTACGTTAACTTCGGAATTTTGAAATATGGTACCTGTAAAAATGCTAATTATAAACGATTTTAATCTTGACAATATGAGTATAGGATCAACATAGGAGTATACTTTTTTCAAATAAAAAATAATTACCAATATTAACAAATTAATTGAAAATAAAGTTAGGCCAATAAGTTTATCGAGATCTCTAAAAGAAACTTACTAATTGTAAAAAATATTTTAATTTTCAATTAAAAAAAAAGACGAAGGTTCTCAATTCGGTTTTATTTTTTATGTATGTTACCTCATAACTCCCGGCAGTTATAAACCGATTTGATTTTTTTTTTATTTGAAAGGATATAATATAAATTAGTTCCACCGAAATTTTATCAAAAGAGTTTCAGTAGTTTTAGTTTTTAAATAAAGTTTATTTTTGTGGGACACAATCTTAATTAATAAATAGTTTACTTGTATGTTGGTGAAAATGACATTTATTTAAAATGAAATTTTAAAAATCTAAAATTATGATTTTAATACTTAATTGTTATACTTACTTAACTGTATAGTCGTTTCCATATTACAGTAGTAAGTTTTGTCTGTACACATATTGTATTTATAAGGCGTGAATGAGATGGAACTACATCACCACATGTGGCTAGATAAAAATCCGAGTCTCAAAATTAAAAATATACGTATTTAATAACAAACAATTACTTACATGCGACGACAATTGAAGATATAATAATGTGACTGACATGTCGGCGATTACGCTTTTTATTACCTACATCATTACGCAAAAATGTAAAGAATCTATTATATGTATATAATCTATTACTATGATAGTGAAATAATATTATGTAAATATTGCTTTATCATATAAGTTTTTGTAATAAACATAGGGAATTTTCTGGATACTGCAACTCACATATATTATTATTTACTTATTTATGTTGAAACCACAGTTGGATACTATATTATCTATGCCTATTTAGGATATCATTACAAATTAAAAAAATTTTACATTATTTAAGAGTTGTCACTGTTCTTATATTGACAAAAGTGTAAAATAAAACTATTCAAACTCCTAGAAGTATCACACAAGAAAATAAATGAATATTCAAGTGTTGTACAACTCATAATGTGTCTCTTAGTTTAGTTACTTTATAGCGTAAAAATTTCAAACACAATGTAGTGGTTGTATATATATTGGATAGTTTTCCATATAAATGCTTTGCCAAAAACATGTCTACTATTCTATCCATTAGTGCATATGTGAGGTTACTATAATGTGTATTTATATTACTCAGTACATGGGAGAAATTTTAAGATTAAATTGAAATATATAAACGATACAAAATTCTTACGAATATATTTGAAAAAACAAGATAAACAGTGCATAATAAGCTGTTTGTTAATTACTTTCATTTATCTTAGTATAGACATGTTTTTAAGTAATTGAAAATGGCTGATATTTTAATGAATACGGTTCAATCACAGAAAAAAGTTATCACTTTAAATAAAAAAAAAAGCGACCATATCTGGGAAATTTTAATCTAATGTAACACTAAAAAAGTGGATTTGTTACGATTTAAAAAAATGTGTCAAATTTACTCAGCGAATTGTCTAATTAAATGAGTATTTGACACATGATGCTCTATTTATATAGGGGAAAGGGGGGCAAGTCGGAGTGGCTGGAAGACGGGGTAGCGGCTTTATACGTCGTTACAACTGATCAATTAGAATCTCGCTAGCATGTGATGATGCACCGCCATGATGCCAATCAGTTTGCGCAGTGACCAGCTAGTGACGCTGCTATTATATCATTAAAAAAAAAAAACTGGTTTTTATCATTTTCCTTGTAATTTTTGTTTTTTGTCTGATACGTGTTTGTTGCTAAATGTCACCAGCTTAATATACGCATGTATAGTTATTCATATGCGTTAACAATCACGCCAACAGATAAGGACTTGTTTGTTTTCATATTACGGCATTATTTTTTTTTTAATAATTTGTTAAAATTCGTTAGGCGCGAAAGGGCAAGACGAGGTATGGGGTACCCCATACCCCATCTGACCGAAACCACTCGCGCTACTCTATGACAACACCAATTCTTAATACAGCTGACATATCGCCAGAATAGAGATACTCGACTTATATACCATGTACGCCACAGGAATCAAATTTTACTGTCCCTAGTCCTCAACAAATTATGCTTTTTCCGCCAACCAGAAGAAATATAAGAGTACCGAGAAAGTGGGGGGCAAACCGCTATTATTACCTTATCGACCCTACAAACTAGAATTAGAAGAGAACATTAAAAATAAGAAGCTGGTGGATGATACTAAAGAAAAAAGAAAAACAATAAACCAATTAAAGAAAACGCAAAGAAAAGACGTATTTAAGAAAAATAAAGTGATCAAAAAGAAAAAAAAAACTTATCAAATCAACGTATAACTTTTTGCATTTTTTCATTTAATTATTAAACAAGTTTTACCAATAAGTACAAATTATTAAAGACTAATTAGCATTTAATATTATTAAAATAAAAGAAACATAGAAAAGATTAACACACTTAATTTTATTGGATTTTAAACCTTAAGTACCCCGTCATGCCCCCATCTCCCCTAATCTAAGATTTCATATAACTGCTTTTTTTGTTTGAAGTGGTCGAACCTGGATGTCATAAAAGTAATATTCGAATTTTAAATGCAAGTCAGTAAAACGTAATTTAAACAAAAAAAAAAAGAAACATTTAATCCATTAATCATATTTTTGATTATTATTAATTTTAAATGCTCAAACAATCATTATTTGTGATGGATAAAATGACGTATTCCAATTTTGAAGAATGGAAGAGGAAACATATTACACAGATCCCAAATAATTATTCAGATAAGGATAGGGAAATGATGAAAGATTTATTTTTTGCAACCTACTTCAGAAAGAAAGAGGCTTTTCAATTCGGTTGTATATATTTTTTTGTTTGTTACCTCTTAACTGTCAGTTATAAACCGATTTGAAAAAATCTAAAAGGATGTGCTTACAAATTGGTTCCATAGAAATTTTCTCAAAATCGGTTCAATACTTTAGTTTATAAATGGTTTTGATTTAAAAATTAATTTTGCTACAATTGAAGTCGGTTGTTTTTTTTTAACACAATTTCAAAAAAGCAGTAATAATTTTACTACTGCTTTTCAGAGGAGCCAAAAACAGTATTTTATTTTTTTCAAATCTGGACCTATTATTATGTTCTAATTGAAAAAGTTAATATCTGGTTTCATAAAATTTTTTTATACAACTTAGAATGGCAAACAAGCTGACGGCCCACCTGATGGAAAGTGGTAACCGTCGCCTATAGACATGAGCATTACCATGGACATTACAGAGTATACTGTTTCACCCATGATACCCTCCATGCGTTGCCATTTCTGAAGACTCAGGTGTTATTCCTCTGTACCCAGTAAATTCACGCCATATCCCACCCTTCAAACCGAAACACAGCCATGCAAACACAACTGCTTCACGGTAGAAACACGAATAGAACAAAGGTACCCAAGCAATCGACTTTTGTACAAAGTCTCCCTCTTTCCTCATATGGAATTTTCAGTTGTGGATATTCTATAGTTTTAGAAATAACTGAATTGTATCTAATTAAACAGTTCAACGTTTATTGCGTTTATCATGTGAAAATAGCCGAATTGGCTTTCGACTATTTGATGTAGTATTGAAGAGAAACCATTTGATGTAAAAATGTCTTACAATTTTTATCCTTTAATTAATTATAGTTTCTGACATAATAAAGTACTCGTTATCTAATAGTGTATAAGGTCATAAGTCGAATTGAAAATATATAAAAAAAGAAAATAAGAGAGAAAACATATTGAATGACTTAGGCTAAGTGTCTTATTATTTTTAGTGCTTTTTTTATAAAAAAACATATTTAGTTCGAATTCAGTCTTTTGTAATGAAAATATTTAGATAATCGTATCTTTTGACATGTTCTGTACGTTTCTTACTTATCAAAGGTCTTCAAGTTTCTTACACTTTAAGAAAAAGAGAAATTTGCCTATTTATTATTATTATTATTGAAAGAGCCTAAAAAAGAATTATTCTATTTCATTGGGTTTCTTACATTTGAATTCCACACCTACGAAGTAGCGGGTAGAAAACTAGTGAATAAATAAAATTGTAGATTCTGTTACAATTATTATTACAATTATTGTTACAATTACAAAGATTAGTAATTATAAAGAAAAGCTATTTTGTCGTATGGATGTAAATTTTGAATATTATCCTTTTTCAGTCCACGAATTGTTATGATTACATGGGAACATTTTATTGAAGTTGACGTTTTATGTTTATGACTTTTATGCTTCACATAGAAGCAAAAAGATTGCGATACAGTATTCTAAACTCAGATATATTCAATTTAATAAGTGTCTACGAAGTAATTATTATTATTGTTTGTAGAGAAAAATGCACTTGAGTATTAAATTTGCACAAAAGTATGTATTTGATTTTCACTTTGACCTGAGAGAGCCTTGACATAACCGTATAATGTTACAGTATAAATTTGAATACAAAATTTACTACAGTAAACGCCAAAGTATTAGCTAAGCATTATTACGAGTATATATTATCAACCAACATCACAAAGGGGGTTTTGATTTCGGTTGTATTTTTAATGTTTTATACGTCATACCTCCGTTAGTTATTTGAAAGGATATACTTACAGATCGGTTCATTAGAATTTTTATCAAAATAGGTTCAGTAATTTAGTTTAAATAACTGTAACTAGTAAAATAACTGTTTTTTTTTTAATAAATTATATGATATTATTTTTTGCCTTGTGGTCCCGGCATAGAATGGGCCACTTATTCCTTTCCCGTGGGTATCGTAAGAGGTGACTAAGGGAACTTAATAGTCGAGGCATGGGCAGCAGCGTCTCTTTTAAAACATTATTAAAAGCCTAACTAACCTGCTTGCCAAGCGTGGCAACTACTGGCAATACTTCCCTTATAGGGAAGGCTTATGTTCAGCAGTAAATAGTTAAAAGCTGATATGATGATGTAACATGTTAAGGTCAACGCTTCGTCGTCGTCTTTGTTTTCACTGTCTACCTTTTTAAGTTTTTTTTTTTTAATAATTCTTTGAAGATCGAAACTGCATTTATTTAGAACTCGCGTGCTGGTGATTTGTTCTAATCGATACTGCACTTAAAAATGAATTAATACATAAGGATAAGTTAATGTTAATGGATATGATTATAGTCTTATTTTTGATGATCATTAAATTAAATAGGTCAAAGTAAAATATTACTCACTGTTTTAAAAAAATGTTTGTTTTATTCGATTTATCTGGTTATTTTTAAACACGATGTATCTTATCTTATTTTCGCATATGGGGTCTGCTAAGCTGTTGCACGTCGTCCCATACGGATCTTTTGTGCTTCCCCCTGCCTTATACCATCATTTCATAGATCTTATGTGTTAAGCAAAGCATTTAAAAAATATACATATATTGTTGTAGAAAAGACGCGCATATTAATTAATAATTTAGCTTTTTATTTATTTATTTATTTTTTGCTTAAGAGTTGTCCGTATAAATTAGTTAGTTTTTAAATTTCAGCCTTTTTGTTCAGGTTATAGAAAAAGTCTTAAAATGTTAAAGGAAAATTACTTATAATTTTTTATTTATTGTTCGAGTAATACTGAATTAGAATAATTCAAAAGGGATTTGATGTTACAAATAATATGAATCTATATTACATCTTGAAATACGCAACTGATATAGATTCCTTTTAAATAAGTTACTATATCATATTATACTCAATATGGTATAATAAATAAAACCTATTATAATATTCGATTCAGTATTAGTAAAAACAATTTTGTATTTTTAACTGTATAATAAAATAATACTGTATATAATCATTATTTAATTATGAGATACTTACGACTTTATTAACAGATAAGTAGATCACAATTTAAACACATTTAATGAAATGAAATTAAAAAAGAAAAGGTAAAAAATATTTCACATTCACAATCGATATGGTTATTCGATATATCGTAATGATTATCGATAGATAATCGTTATAAGGCACATCACTTGGGTTAGTGTAACGCGCGCAGGACTGCGCGCTCCTTTATCATCACTGTATAAACTTGGGTTCACGCACACAGTTTTATTTACTGTAGGAAATTTTCTGAACGGCATTCACCGTGACCTTTACTAAGTGTATGAACTAGAGCTGTGACTAGAGTGACTAATGTTCGAGCATTACTTCCATTTCCATACGATATGAGGGTTAGTTGTTCTTACATATACAGACAAATACATAAATATACATACAACGAGATTATATTGGATTTGATTCTTTATAGCATTTTTCATCTTTATAATTAAAATTTTGATTCAGTAAATTAAAAAAAAATATATAATTTTATCAACATTTATAATAAAATTGACTTAGACCTTGTATAAATGTTGTATTCATAATACTTAACGGGATTGATTTATCCCAAAACCCTTAAAATATTATAAATGTGAAATTAAAATTATTTGTTACCTTATAGAGATGTAATGGCTTGTATAATAACTATAAAATTTAGTATACACGTGCTATATGGTGTGAAAAAAGGATTATTAAGGCTATTTTTATCTCGGTCAGTAAACATGTTACGGTTACGCGGACGAAGTCGGAGGTAAAAGCTAGTGTTATGAGGATGTTTTAGTGGATTTTCATATTTTATTAATATTTTAGTAATAGGTACCAAAGGGAGATCTTATATAAAAGTCGTCAGCATGAGTAGGTATCTCTGTTCTACGCGAAGCAGTTGTGCTTGCATGACTATGATTCGGTATGAAGAATGGAATATGGTAATGAAAGGGTACAGAGACATAACACCATAATTCTCGAAATGGCACCCCATGCAATTAAAATATTAGGTTATGAGATTTTATTTTGATAATTTTGCGAAATTACTGTTTTATGGTAAACTGCCATAAGGAACGGCCCCGTTCCTTATGACAGACTAAGGGGCGAGGCCTATGTTCAGCAGTAGACAAATAACAGCTGATATTTTTTTTTATGCAACTTAGAATGGCAAACAAGCTGACGGCCCACCTGATGGAAAGTGGTAACCGTCGCCTATAGACATGAGCAGTACCATGGACATAACAGAGTGTACTGTTTCGCCCATGATACCCCCTATGCGTTGCCATTCCTAAGGACTCAGGTGTTATTCCTCTGTACCCCGTAAATTCACGCCATATCCCACCCTTCAAACCGAAACACAGCCATGCAAACACAACTGCTTCACGGTTGAAACACGAATGGGACAGAGGTACCCAAGCAATCGACTTTGGTGATAATATGGTGTTAATGATGATGATAACTATTTTATGTACCACCATGAACTAAAATTATAATATTTTTTTTACTTAAATCTATTAGAAAAGGTAGTTCATATTGGTCTTTACAAAAAAGATTTCGCTGTGAAATCAAATTGAAATTTCATTTTCACAGATAGGTTTAGAGAAGTGTCACTTCAGTATCTATCCCATTGTTTCTATCATAAAAAAATGGTTACGCTAAATTATCAAATTATAATTCTCATTTACAAACGTAATAGAAATAAGCAATTTAATAAGTATAAACAATATATCGTGTGTGAAATTAATCAACTATCCATGTATAACATTTGACTATGAAAATATCTTATGAAAAAGGAAATATTTTTTAATAATTCTCATTTTAGATATGAATTTAGGAATTATCTATGAAAATTATACTCATTATTTTTGGAAATTAAGCCTTATTTTATTACATTTTTAATTAAAACCTATTGTTAAGTCATTACTCTTACCTACATTTAATTACATTTATTAAATATACTCAGTAAATGAAAAATTGCTCATACATGCAATGATAGCGTTATCGTTTTTTGTAAGACATGCACATTCTTCATGACTATAATCTATAATTGTTATGGTGCATTATTATTTCTATTCGGAACCATAGTTCTATCAGGATCGGACTTGGCCGGTTTTTATTCAACTCTTGAACCGTCTCCAAGGTTAATTTTAATAACTTTTCATAGTCTTCATCCGTTTCTAGTTAAACATCATGCGAATTTTTCACTGTAATTGATAATAATTTGTGTCTACTTAAGTAGTTCGTGCACCTGAAATTCGAAAATTTTAACATATTTTACCAAATGTATCCGACAGCTTTACTCGTGTTAGTCATTTAGGATTCGATATTAAAACAGGAAATAACACTCATTTACCAAATTGCATTAAAATCTGTTCAGTCGTTTAAGCGTATTCGTGATGCAATAACAAACATACAAACAAACTTTCACACTTTATTAGTAAGATGCATAGTGATGTTGCTCTATTGACCTATGTTTGTATTCGAATATTTTGGCAATTGAGTGATTGAGTAAAGTGGACGAAGATGCCAATGTTTTGTCTGAGGAAGATGCATTAGATGGGCTAAAGTGGAAAAAAACGACGTTCTTCTGTTTTTCTGAATTGACTCGAGCCTGTGTGTTCTGGGTTGTGATCCCAGAAATTCATTGCCTGGATTCTCATTACACGGTGTCTTAGTGTGAGGACCAGGTGATTGGTGGAATTATTTATTTATTTATTCTTTATTGTACAATAAAACTTTGTACAAATGTCGAGCTTGATGCCATATGACATTCTCTACCAGCTAACCATTATGTATACTATTTAAAGAAACAGGCACAGTTTATAAGACAATATAAAAAAAAACCAAAACGGTTCGGTTTTTAACCAAAATTATGGCTCAAAATAGGAAATTACAAAGTGCAGTAAAAATAATAATAATAATTAGGTGTCTATTTCGTGTAAGAAATGCAATAAAGGCTATTTTATCTTATTTCCTATGCATGGAACCTCTGGCGTGTAAGACCAACTCCCACCTGATCTTGATTTTTTTTATATATTATTGTGAAAGAGGTTCATTTTGAAAGAAAAAAACAGGACAGGACAGCTCTCCGTGTGGTCCCGGCGTAGAATAGGCCATCCCTTTCTTTCCCGTGGGCGTCGTAATAGGCGACTAAGGGAAGGCGAGGGATGGGCAAAGCAGCGTCCCTATTAAAACATCTTCAAAGCCTAAATGCGGTTGCTAATCCGCCTGGCAAGCATGGCAACTACTGGCAAAACATTAGCCTCCCCGGCTTATGTTCAGCAGTGGACAATTAAAAGCTGATATGATGATGAAACAGGACAGGACAGGATTTTTAACACTTGTACCTACGTCTTTATTGTTTCTTCTTATCCATTCGATGTATTGTAGAATTTATATAATATATAGTTAATAAATTTAATTTAAAAGCCATTAAAATTCATGTATTAAAATCACGCTAAAACGCCTGATATTTTGTGAATAGTTTTCACTCAAGATATCAATTCTATAAAATAGTACGTTATTATATGTATGCTGAACATTCAAAAGAGAAACGCATATGGTTAGTCATAAAGGAATATACAGGTGTTTTGCAATCCTAAAATATGGCGTAATTCGAATACATTTATTTGAAATTGATCTAAATAAATACTGAACTATTATGTTTGTAGTTTTTTTTAATGAGTGATAATGAAATGGTTACCCCCGCCAGCGCTATCGGTATACGCTGGCGGGGTACCAGTGCGGGATCATAGGTGACGATGAAAGCAGGTCTGTTAGCTCATCATATCGAATTAATCACAATGGTATCCAAGGGGAACCGCGTGGAGGTCGACCTGATAGAGAGTATTACTAGCAATATGCCAGCTAGACCCCATTACTAACAATGTTTGTAGTTTACCAGATGGTGAATGTATTATTTACTTGGGTACTTCTGTCCCAATTTGATTTCTCCTGTAAAACAGCTGCGATAGCATGGCTGTGGTTTGGTTTAAAGGATGGATTATGGCAGTAAATTTACAATTTACGGAGGCATAAGACCATAGTCCTTAGAAATGACAACGCATGAGAGATACCATGGGTATCACAGTGCATTCTGTGATTTCAATGGTAAATACTATTAAGTGTAGGCTAGTCTATGGTTACTATTTACCAACATATGGGCTTGTTTACCATTGTAAGTTATTAAAAAAATTATGTTGCCACATCTAATAATCCTTATATTTTTTTTTTGGTGCAATAATCAGTAAAGAAGTAAATGAATTAGTTTGTGTAACAAAATATATGGTTATTGCAACAACTCATAATTTCTAGAGAACGAATTCCGTGTTGAAGTGCCTACCATAACTTTTATTGTTGCTTTCCCGTTATTATTTTGTTTTAGTATATACCTATTTGTTTATCCCTCAAAATACTAAATGCACATGATAATCATAAGTAATCAACTAAACACAAGCTATGAAATATCTACTAGAAACCCACTTCGGTTTCGCATTTTTTTTTTTCAATAAAGTACAGTCCATATTACTTACTGAAGTAGCTTTCTGTAGGTGATATAACTTTAAAAATTGTTTAAACGTTGTTTGAAATTATCTATGTTTAGATATAATTAATATTGAGAGGATAGTACAGTAGAAAGAAATGTAGACATTGTTTGAGTAATGAAAAAGGAAAAAAGTATCCTTAACCTAGCCAGTAAAATAAGAACAAACAGCAGAGAAATGCAACTTTGATGCTTGAGATTTTATCCGTATATAACTTTAGATTTATATTAAATCAAAACACAGTTATTATTTCAAACTTAATTATATTTTACCTTCTGACTTATCGTGATAAAGTGGAATAAATTACACAGAAAAATATAATTACGTATTGTGAACGAACCAATAACGTCAGCGATTTGCATTGTAGGGTAAATAGGTGAATTATCTGAGTATTATCGAGTACTATATTACTTATACTATGACTATGAATAAACACAACAATACAAACAATTGCTGTACAAAAATTTCAGTTCAAATGCTTTGTTGATACTTCTAATTTACCAATTTTTCAATACATACTATATATTGTTTTTTTGATTTTTACTACTTATACTAATACTAGTTATTGTTGATTTTACAGGGCATGATACATTATCAAATACATACATAGAATCATTATATAGAACAATATTATATCAATATATGAAATTATTGAAGAACTTTTAATATTAGTAAAAATAAATAAAACATCTCTCTTTCTGTAGTTCTATAATATTCTATTGAGATCATTTTTCTATTCCATAATTATATAATATATATGATCCGATTTAACGATCTTATGTACTTGACAGTGTACCATACCCCTTAAACATATATATAAATGAGAATAAAGTTATATACAATTTCAATGTTATGTTATAATTTAAAATAATTTTCTCTTAGTCATACTGGGAATATCAAATATTGTCAAATATAATATTATTAATATATTGGAATCCCCCAGTCTTCTTTAATCATATCAGCAGCTTTTTCACTAATCATCATTGTTGGTGCATTCGTATGAGCTGCAGGAACATGAGGCATGATACTGGCATCGACTACTCGGAGTCCTTGAATGCCATATACTCTTAGTCGAGGATCTACCACTGCTTCTGGATCTTTGTTTGGTCCCATTTTATTTGTACAACAATGATGATAAATAGTATTCGTAATGGTTTTCATAGCACAGTACCAATATTTATCTGAATTAAACCCATGACGCGCACAATTCGGTAATGGAATATCATGTAATTTACTATTGTATTTTTGAAAAGCTTTCGTCTTTGACAATTCAATTGCTTTTCTAATTCCTTTTAATATCACCTTCTGATCGTGCCCTTCGTCAGAAAAATAATTTGCGTATATCAGTGGTTTGTGGTGAGGGTTTTTATTTTTTAATTTAATGCGGCCTTTAGATTCCGGTAATAAGAGCATTGGAAAAACCATCCACGTATCTTTATTTTTTATTGGCCCATAAACTTTGTCATATACATTATTGTCAATAGAAAACGCTTCTTTATAAGTAGGCTGTGAAACTAAAGATCCTGCGACAAAAAGCAATTCTAAATCAGGGTAGCCATCGTCACTATGTGGGTTTTTTGTATCGAAGAAGGCTATTGCTTCTGTACCACTTGGAGCCGATAACGGTCCGGTATGATAACTGAAGTATTCAATTATATTTTCTAGTGTAGCAACTCTTTCAGATCTAATGGAGTCAGTACTATTAATTGTAAATGTGAGTCCACCAAGAGCCCAATGATCTTGTAAGTTGTAGCCAACAGGAAGATCAACAATGGTTGTTATATTGTTTTCTGTTAAATGTTCTTTTGGCCCAATACCACTAATCATTAATATTTGAGGTGAATTAATTGCACCTGCTGATAATATTACTTCACGCCGTGCCGAAATGACATACTTTTTACCATCTTTATTAAATTTAACACCGTATGCCCTTTTTGTCCAAGGATCTATTAAAATGCGGGTAACTAATGCGTTCTTAGCAATATGAAGGTTTTTACGGTCTCTTATGGGATATAAGAAGGCTCGGTTAGCGCTCATTCTCGTACCATTATTCATCGTGAACTGTATAATTGAGTATCCTATTTGGTTTTCTGCGTTGTAGTCGATGACCTTCCCCCCTGTCTCAATTCCAGCTTGTAAGAATGCTTTTGAAAGTGGAGTACGCCAACTTGGATACTGTAGTGTCATTTCGCCACTAGTAGAGTGGAATTTTTTGTTCTTGGCCAGTTTTGGTATTTGCATATTTTCTGATTTTTTGAAGTATCGCAGCACTGATTTGTAGTCCCAACCTGGGAAAAATTGTAATAAAAGGCACTTTAAGAAAGAAAAATTGAATGGCACAGTAAAAAGATTTTAGTCAACTTATATACATTTTGTTAACCGCATAAACAGCCGCTTAATTATTTAAACGAGAAATTTTAATTTTTTTTTGTGCATATGCACTGCGACACACTGTCGTAGTGTCTAAACAGATGAACCAATTTCAATGTAGTTATTTTTTATTATAAGGCTTATTTAATTGACATACTTTTTAAATTATTAATAATACGGTTCGAATTTTGATAATAGCATATCGTGTTGTTTATCGAGTGACGCGATTTTTAGTTTCGTCAATTGATTCCGATTTTTTCTTATATATTTTAACCATATCTCAATGAATTATTAATTGTTATACTTTCTTTGTCCCATCACGTATGGTTTTAACACCGACAGTTTACTGGCACAATTAGCCTCCCATACATACAAGGAAAAATCACATCCAACAAAAGTTACTGGAATGTAGTTTTGAGGTCACACTCACTGAAAAGCTTCTGACCTTTACAATAACTCCATTATGATTAAGTATCATTTACCTGGATTACCATTACCGGCCCACCGATCGTAATCGCGCCAGTTTCCTCTTGTGTGCATCATCGAATGCAGGACAGAGGAACCACCAACAACTCTTCCTCGAGGCCATGCGCAGCGTCCAGCTCGCATACCAATGCAACCGGACTCCTAGAAACGTAAATATCTGAATCAATCTTACATCCTCTACAAGAATAACTTTATTCATAACATTCTAGTGTGCCTTTTTGTTATTCTTTAAAGCATTACAACCACTACCCACTAGTAAACTTTGACAAATATGTACACACACACACAGAGGTGTGTTGTTTTAATTTTATTATTGTCACTGGTTTACATTATCATTATCATATATCAAACTGCGTGTGTTCAATTCATTTATATTTTATAGGTAATTAAAAATTCAGCCTACATATTGAAGTGTAAATTTATATGTTTATGTCGCTATTCTTCTCATATATTTATAGTTGAACGCTAATTTGGTCAGATTTTTTGACATTTAGCGTAAATACTTTTTACGGGCATAGATGAGTACATTTTATATTGACTTGGTCAGGTTCTATGTAAATACTTTTCACGTATATAGGTGAATACATTTTATATTGACTCAATTCTTTTCAAGTAACGTCATCGTCAACTGTATCTATATATATTAAGTAGGAGGATTATTTTAGATGTATTTATCGTTTTATTCCAACTTTACAATGCGTTTATTACTTATATAGTGCTACATGATATAGTGTTAGTCGTGAACTTGATTTTACATTCTTTCATTTATATGTTTAAGAATCTTATTTTATGTTTTATAATCAATTTTAAAATTATTCCTGTACGGCTATTGGTAGAGAATTAATGTTTTGTTGCTTATTATTTATAATGAAATTAATGGAAAAATGGAAATTTAGATTGTATTGTCTATTCAGAAAAAGTCTAACATTTATACTGGCATGGGAAATAATGAATTCGCGTAGCAGAAACCGGGAGAAATCAAGAATAATTTTGTATATCTATATTTATAATAAAAAAAAAAAAAAAAAACTACTGACTCCTAAAGTCACGGTTAGGTAAAGATTTGGTTTTAAGATTTTAAATTTGGCATTTAAACATTACATTGAGCTACATTTACATTGTCGCTGTACCCACCAAGGCGACTCCGTGAGGAGCATGTCGCTTTGCTATTCATTCAAGTGAATCATGTATCTTATCACGTAGCGCCCGAGTTTTAACGATACAATTTATACATATAGTTGTCCATTCCTTTTCAATAATTTTATTTTATTTTTTCATTTAATTTCATATATTTTTAGGCAGATTTTTCGATTGAAAATTGAATAAATATAATGGTAATCTTAGAAAACAAAATCATTGACCGCATCTGTTTGTTTTTCTCTCCACTACTCCTAAACCACCCGATACATATTGATACGGTTTTTACTTTTTGTATGTACAATGCATCGTAGGAAAGGTCGCTATTTTTTTTTAAATACAGTGCAAAAAGAATGGTTTTTACACGAGAACAAAATCATGTATTCATATGTCTCTCACCGCTATAAATACGAGTATGGTTGTCTTGAATAATTTTTATTTTCAACTGTTTTTAACATTTCTATAAATAGTTTTGGTACTTATGATTACAGATAGACAATACAATATTGTTATCTTACAATAAACATTCCCATCCAAACCTCTTGTTTGATTGAGGATGGCTGTGATAAATAATGACTTGTTTATAAATGCTGATCGAATACAAAATAGTTTTGTCGATGACCCTAGTTAGTGTTACCTTCTACGGTGTGTGCTACGGTGTGAATAATAAATGTGGAATATAGCTGATATGTCTGATCTAATAACTGATTTAAACTATTTTTAAATTTTAATAATACTGGGGTTAGTTTCGATGTAAATGATCAAATTGGAATTGCACGAGTAGGCTTGAAATGAATGTTACTTTGTCTAATTTTTCACGTCAATTAAATATAAATTACATACGCTACCTACATACTACCCACTCATTCGGGCCTACAGAACAGTTGTCACACAAGTACCTTTATACATACATACATTCACTCTCCCACTCACTCCCTATGCTCTCTCTATATCTCTTTATTGTTATCTGTGTATTATAACACTAATTGGTTGTCTTGTATTTGTGTAGTCCATGGAGATGGGGCACTGGTAACCTATAATACAGGTTCTTCAAAACCTACTGCAGGCCTTACAAAATTGGTCTTCCATATTTAATTGAACCTCAAGTTGTTAATTTGTACTATCTTTTGTGAAGAGAAAATAAACTGTTCATTCATTCATTCATTTTAATATAATCTCAATTTGATTACGTCAATAATCACTTCGTATTTAATAGAATATTTATTTATTATATTTACCAACTAAGGGAGCTTGACAGTTTCCCAACTTGCTCCCTTAGCAATTACAATACGAGTATATGAAATATAATAAAATTGAAGTATTAGAAACTTTCTAAATAATTTATCGACATTCTGCAAAACACGACAAGATTACATGTCAATATATCCAAGTCCGGATACTGGTTAATGACACCGTTGAGCAGTCAATTGCCATTCTTAAGGATTGTTTCCGTACCTTATATCTTTACTGCCATGTCCCACCCTTGAAACTGGAACATAGCATTGCGTGGCCAAACACAGCTGCTTGATGGCAGAACCATGAATTGTAAAGTGGTGCAGACTAATTTTGTACACAGTTTTCCACTTGTAATGATATTAAATAAACGCGGATACGACATTTTATGACACAACACGACCTTTCTAACACTTTATACCTAGATTAATTAACCAATGAATACACCGGAAAATGATATGACATCTCTACGCTCAGCGTCAATAATTCTAGCAGCAGCTACCTTGACTGCGTATCACGTAATTTTCCTTATCAATTATTAACGTGCCCATTGTACTGATTACACGATGATACCTAGTGATGTACGCAACAAGAAACTACCTACGTTAGTGTTGCAGTTAGTTGATGATATTGCAAAACTAGATCTAAGGTTAAGATAATAATACTAATGATGGGTTAATCGTTTGTTAGGTGACTTATCGCTTATTTGCATTGCAATTACCTATGTGTCGTCAGTTGCGGTTGATCAAGTGTTAAGGAGTAAATTTCCATGTATTTTAATTCTATAATTCTTATATAAAAAGTGTAGTGTAAATAAAAAAATACACTGTTAAAGACGAATAATCTAAAGAAAAATTACTAAGTGTATATCATCACCATGGGTGATAACTTTAGGACTTTTACTTTATATGGTGACTATTACTACTGGTCAAAATGTGGAGGTAGTCCAGGTAATCTACCAAAATTTACCTAAATGATCGCATTAATTGTCGTCTCCTGCGTTAATCACTGCTTAAACTACCCACTCTACTTCTCCTACCCCATTCTTGAGGGTTAATCCTCCATACCTAGTATTGACTAGAATACCAAGCTGTAGCCCGTACGAAAAGTTTGTAAAGAGGAAAGAAAAAGATAATTTGCCATTTTGTGGCATTTTGTATTAAAATAAAATAAATTCTAGCATAGAAATAAAATAGCTTTTTTTGAACTTGTAATAATTAGCATATAAAATAAAGCATTTGTGATGTCTACGTAATACACATCTTTGTTTGTTACTCACTTGTGGCTCTGTACGGTAGTTCCAATTGGCATCCGTGAATTGCAGCATGGTGGTGAGAACTGGGATGTCCATGAACATCTGTTCACTACCGCCTGCTTCTATAAGAAGCACCTGCAATAAAAGCCCTTTTATACATATAATATCAAACAAGTTAAAAATGTTAGTTATAATTTTATGCTAAAAAATTCTGTACTCTCATCTTTTTCTAATATAGTATTGTAATCATGTATCAACCATTATCTGTTCACTTCTGAATATAGGCCTCCCCCATAGACTGCCACAAGAAATGGTTCTGAATCCCCTGCGAAGCACTTGAGGTTGTCCTACACTGCATTTGCTTGTACAAGTTTGCCACTCAAGACCCCATCTTCCCTATCAGTTGTCGGTTCTTCGAGCTACATATGTAATTGTAAGTACCCCATTGCCATTTTAGTTTGCTTAAACTTCGGGCTCTGTCGATCACTTTGGTTCTTCTGTGGATATTCTTATTTTGGATTCTATCTAACTTAAAGCTTTTGCATAATGGCAACCATGTACGACCACGTTACGGTTCCGTAGGTCATCACTGGCAACACGCACTTGTGAAAGACCTTTGTCTTCAAACTTTCGAATATTTCAATATATATAATACGTTACGGCTTTATAATTCTTGAGTCAGAAATGTAGGCTTTAAATAGAAATACTACGTGACTATAGGGGTTGCGTAAAAAAGTCGCCAGGGTTCCGCTAAATTATTTATACAGTAAAACAATTAAATTTTTCACATTCACAATTAAAGGAAACTATGAAGTGTAACAATGCTTTATATAAAGTTTTTGTTTTCATTTAGATTACAGTGTTTTTGATTTGATATGGAGTTCCATAAAATAAAAGGTATTTGGTGGACGTTCCGTTATCTAATAATTTAGGAACCCCTGATGTATAGGATAGTATAATGATTATAGCTATAATGTTTCATTGCAAATAATCGTGTAGATTTCAGCAATAATTACGACCGACTTGGCACCGGTTTTGTCTCTCCATATGAATTGCGTATTACGTCAGAGTTTGGTATTCAGAAAAAACTGGTTGCTTTGCCGAAAATTCCGAGATGTATCTGTAAATGTGATCTGTTCAGACAAGAATAGACTGGTAGGGGGAAGATTTAGGATAATTAAGGGGTAAATTGGTATACTTGTATATGGTAAGTTGTTACCACAGTGGTTTGACGACTAGAAGTGCCAAGTATGACTCTCAAGGAAATTTTTAACAATCTCCATTTTGTAGTCTTTTAGGAAAATCTTAGGTGTTATGTCCTATAAATATCGTGTGAGAAGAGTACAGGCGAATAAAGCTTCCTATTACCACATTGGCCTGCTGCGTTAGTTATATACAATTTATTTTTCGGTCGGTTTTTATTTCAAGTGTTCCTTTTATTGCATTAGATTTGATGTATTGTTTTATCTTTTTAATTATGTTATAAGATACTCTGGAGTAACATACTATATGTTTACTATGTGATCACATAAACTATATTTTTACCTTAAAATCTTCCACCTCTGTGAGTCTGTTAGCCAGTACGCATCCAGCTGTGCCAGCTCCGATGATTATGAAGTCATAGTCTGGTAGTATTTCCTCAGAATCGGGCAATTCCCCATTCAAGACTCTCTGGCTATCTCTAATGAATCCAGACACAGCTTCGAAGATGGAACCGCGTTGAGCCATGACGTGTGAACTTAAGATCACGTATGTCATGCTGAGGAAGATAACAATGTATTAATTAGTTTATATATTATATAAATTAATTTAACTGTCTAGGAGAGACGATAGATGGTGGATTAAGGCAGAATCAGAGTGGTTACTAAGAGAGGGGCAAAGAATAATCAATAGACTCGTAAAGCTCGGATGATACAGTTCCGATACTTGTGAACTAGTTAATGAGATTGGCATTGGACTGTAACATGTAACGTGTCAAAAGAGGCCTATTCTCAGATTTTTGTATATGTCGAGGTGAGATATGTCAATACAATATAAAAATAATCGATCGATATGTGTTATCCTACTATGAAAGTTACAGTCGATAATGGTGTCTAATTTACCAGAGGCAGTTGTTAGACAAAATACCTCTCTGCATTGGTACCTTTGCATCACACGTATCACTAAATAGTTATGTTTGCATGATCATATTTCAGTTTGAAACAAGCATAAGATTTGCGTGATAAGAGACACCTTAACCACAACACCTAACACCTTTACGAGTAATAGAATATTTGCCAGCAATTTTTCAGTAGTATTTAATATCGTGTGCACTTATTTTTAAATGAGAAATTTTATTTTAGATTCTTTACTTTTTAAAATATTTAGAAGTGATTAAAGCAATAAATTATTCGTGTTTACGTAGTCGTGTAATAATAAAAAAATAATGGAAAATTACTGGTAGGGGCTAGGGGATTTCTATACCGTTTACTTGGTTTTGCAATCAACGTCAAAAACCTATTTAATAACAAGATAACAGTGAGCTTTTGAGCGTAAACTGTACTCAAAATAAATTTGTATATATAAAAAGTATTGTATAGATAAAAAGCATTATCATATTAAATATAAATTCAAGTTTTTTTTTAAGAATCTCTGCGATGGAAATGCCTAAAGACGTCAACCAAACCACAAACAAACCTGTATGGTCCGGCTATATTTTTTTTTTATCTAAATTAAGTAACTTTTATTCTAAAATAACATAAAAATCATTGCAAATGATTTCATTTGCATTTACATTGGTTGATTGATTTACTTTGATTGACTGACCGATGCTACTAGCATTAAGTCCGCCTTTTGCCACATTTTCTTATGGTCAATAAAGTTATATAAATGAAGTAAACAATACATTACAGGTATTATCTTTAGTCTATGCACGATTAATATCTACTGATATCAAAGAAGCTTAGATTGTATAGAGTGTCTCCATACAAATGCTTCGAGAAAAGCGGGTCAACTTTTTCATACAATTTTGCATGTTGAATATTTATGAGTGGATTCCTTTATGATTTCTATATTTATTTTGTTTTATAATTGCATGCATCTATTTAATGCGTAGACACTCATTTTATTCATTAATTAATACATCAAGATACTTTTAATGTGTAAGTATATAGAACACTAATTAAAAAAAACTAATCAGCCAATTTGACAATTAGCTGACAAAAAGTTGACCAATTTTTGAGGCTCTAAGCAAAGAAATTAATAGAGCTCTACTTATATCCTCAGATTCATCGTACAGGGTGAAGTCGAAGTATTTAGCATCCTTTTATTCTGTCAAAGGAACTGAATATTTTTCCCAAATATATATGAGTCAATAAACGACATTTTAAGAGCGCTCATAACGAAGTATGGCAGCGTCGCAATTGTCTGTCAATTTTCTAAAACAATAGAAGGATTTTTTGATTCATTATTTAAAATGTATTCTGCCCACGAACTGTACGTATACCACGCATAACCATAGAATACGTTGCATAAAAATCTATGACTAAAAACTTGCACTTACTTCATATTTTGCTTTGTAGTTTTGCAAATCCTTTTTTTTTGCCATCAAAAGCCAAATTTTCTTTTCTTTTGTATATTCCTGTAGTAGTTGATAGTATTATTTGTCACGCATCTTAGACTGTCACACATTTAGTACAGTTATTTATATTTATTCAATGATGTTATGTAATTATTATTTTTATATACTTTTGCCATTCAAATACCACACAGTATTATCAAATGCATCGTTGCATATTTTTAATATTTCAGTGATAACACTATTTCCCCATAGTATAAAAATACAGGTATTCGGTGATCCAGATAATATAACTGTTATATCTTTTATTATTGCTATATAATAAAACAAATCAATAAACGTTTTAATTACTGACTAGTATAATCATACAACGTGATTACTGTCACGTTGTATGTTTATAGTACCATCTACAAATATTTTAATTATTAAAATTACTTTTCTTTTTAATTAAGTGTTTTTTAAAAGATAGATAATCATTTTAAAATCGTTTGCTTAACTTAGCCCATAACTTACTGTCACGTTGTAAGAAAAGTAACTACAAATTAGATTTTTTAAACAGTATTTTTTTTTATTTAGATAATTATAATTATTTTGTAATTAAAAAACTGTAAGTGCAGCACTTATTATCACTATTCACCTTACTAATATATAAAATTAGTACTGCAAATTTTTATACGTTCTATGACGTGCATCCTATGAGTACATACTGTCACGTTGATTGAGGATACTCACCGTAAAAATTTTATGAAAAGTGCATTTTAAGGAGTAGATTTTTAAGTGATAGATAATTTGATTATTCTATTTTTAGAACCGAACATAACAATTATTATAAATATTTTATTATATAGTATTGTACTAAGAACCCTCATACGTTCAAATCACTATTACTTATTGTTATAATGAATGATTATCGTAACCACACTAACTTTATCAATTGATTTTTATGTTATTCATAAAATTCATCTATTTATAATTTAAAAACCGTAAACATAGCACTTAATATCAATATTCACTTTACAAAAATATAAAATCAGTACTGCGAACTTTTATCGTACATTTCAATTATTATTACTTACTCTCATGTTATATAATTTTTGTACTAACAGTTATTTTTTATTAATTAATTTTTATGATAATATACATAATTGTGATCATTTCATAATTAAAAAAGATTTAAGTATAGCACTGATTATCAATATTCATTTTAGTAATAGATAAAATATAATATCATGAACTTTTATACGTTCCAATCACTATTACTGTCACGTTGCATAAGATTATCGTAATTATATTTTTTTTAATTTATTTTTTAGTTGATAGATGATTTTTATTATTCCGTAATTTAAAAAACCATAAGTATAGCACTTATTATCAATTATTCACCTTATTAATATATAAAAATTGCACCGCATGTCTCCACACAAAAGTAAAAATCTTCCTTGACGATACAAAGTTTGGATCACAATTGACGCGAGTCGAATTATGAAACTACTCGGCTTGCACTGAACCTGATTCTTAACTACATTCATAAATACCATTTTGATGGGCAGTGCATGTCAAAATGTCATCGGGTCATTAAAAACAGAAAACGGTAATGTATAATATAAAAAAGATTAAAATTAATAGGCAAGTTATTAAACGGTATGTATAAATAGTTTGGTTCGGATATTTCAATTTGGCATTAACTTAGATCGTGAAAATATGACATTACATGGTTTTGTTAAATTTAACTGACTTTGGTTATTTATTTATTACCCACAACTTTATCCGCGTCGCCTGATATGTTGTAAAACCAAAGTGACCGACATAGCCCGAAGTATAAGCAAGCTGAACTGGCAATGGGCTGGTCACATAGCTCAAAAAACCGACATTGAGGAAAGTTTTATTAGTGGCGACCCCGTGTGGGTAAATGAATTAGGTTTACATGTGATGATGAAATAATGTAATGTATCTGTCATTACTTTACCACCATAAAGATGAAAAGTAGTATAAGAGATCAAAACACAACATTTATTTATGGATAAGTGATTTTCAACAAATGTTTCTCCTGCTAAACTTTAGTGATCCAGTTCAACGGTGCTTTCAATTTCGACATTCCAGAAAACCCGATGTCTCCAAAATATAGAAGGAAGCACTTTATAAAATGCATTCGGGCAACATGATTTTTTTTAAAACTTGAAACTAAAAAGGTTTATCGAAAACAGAAATCGTACTTGCAAATTACCCGGATGATAATGGAACGATATTTGGTTCTGGGTCACAAGTGAAGGATGATCAGTGAGGACAAAAGCAGATCTGTCGACTCATCGTAATTAATTTATCAAGAATTAACATAATGGTTTCCAGGAGGAGATCTCGTGGAGGTAGATGTAACTTCCAACTTCCATTAACAAATTCTTCCCTCAAACACAATATACTAGTGCATGGGAACAATAACTCTAAATAAACGCTAGTTAGCGTAATAATAGGTAGTAGGCTAATATCCTGTTTGAGTTTGTGGAAAAGAATTAAAAATAAGATCCGACTGCTCCGTTGTTACCAATATATCCTCAAGTCTACCTCCATGTGGTCCTTTGAAACAATCGTGGTTAATATTTGTTGAGTTTACCTGATTCATTCTCACCTATCGTCCCTCACTGGTGCCCCGCCAGTGTACATCGAAATACCAATAGCACATACGTGGTCCTTATTTCATTTTTACAAATTGAAAAAATGCCGTATGAGGATTCTAATCTTTCCCCAGCAGAGGGCGTTAATGAGTTGTTATAATGAAGATATCTACTTACTGTTACTGATTGCAGAGGCTGTGATAAAGGAACATTGAATTAAGAAATGAAAACATATAACCTTTTACACTAAAAAAGGTTAAAGGGTTTTGGCGATAATAAGTTAACATTTAATTCGAAGGTCCGGTATTATGAAGGTTAACATTGGAATCTTTACGTCAGTCTTTTTGTGGTAAATCTGACGCAGCGCAGTAAATCCCATATAAAAATGACTAATAACCAAGCTGTATTATTTTTTAAAATTAGTAAACAAGGTTTAACATAAATTTATTAAATTTTAAAATGTTTTTCATTGTATAGCAACGTCACTTTTAAAATTTTATCTTCTTAATAAAACCGACTATTGAAGGAAAAAAACATTTCGGCCAAAAGTAATAATAAAAAATTCCAGAGAAGTGCGTCAATTGTTAAATGATTTGTTTCTTCTAATGAACTTACTTTTTAGAATATCCGTATTTATTATAAAGTGATTTCTTTTTCTAATTAACTTTGTAATAAACACGGATATTCTGAAAAGTTATTTATATATTTTATTTATGTATAATATAAAAAGGTATTAATATGTTACTTTTCGTCATTTTCCATTAATCAACATAATATAAAATTTATTGCCTTTTATTACGCTAAAACTTTAGATCTACAACATTATTTAAAACTAGTTATATCCCGCGGCTTCGTCCGTGTATATTATGATTAAATTATCTTTTGTGTTGTATATGGTTTATATTAAAATTTATTCAAATTCGTTCAGCCTATCGTGACAAACTTTCTCTTTGTATTATTAGCAGGAAAACGACATTATTCATACTATTTTTTTATGCAATTTAGAATGGCAAACAAGTTGACGGCCCACCTGATGGAAAGTGGTAACCGTCGCCTATAGACATGAGCGGTACCATGGATATAACAGAGTATACTGTTTCGCCCATGATACCCCCATACGTTGCCATTCCTGAGGACTCGGATGTTATTCTTCGGTACCCTGTATATTCACAGCCATATGAACAAATTCAAACTGAAACACAGTCATGCAAACACAACTGCTTCACGGTAGAAACACGAATGTGACAGAGGTTCCCAAGCAAATGACTTTTGTACAAAGTCTTTCTCTATACTGTTAATTTCCATAAGTAATTAACAAATTGCATCGTTATATTACAAGAACGCAACCGTTAATATTCTAGTCTTGCCTCTTTAATTTGATATTCAGGCCATAGTTGTTGATCATGGATTAGTGACGTAAAATCGTTATGACGCGTATTCGTATTATTAATTTCAAACTATGAATGGAAAAAGTCCAGGAATATTCTTTGCGGTTACAAGATACATACATAAGTATTCATGTTTGTAAATAAATAAACAATAATAGATGTAACTATTGACGTATTTTACGATTTTAATTATGACGTAATAAATAAAACATTTTCCGGATTCTTTCGCGGAATTCAGAAACAATTTATAGTTATGGGTCATAGATATTATATGTTACGTAAGTATTTTGTCAAATGTGCAAGTAATAATGTAGGTAAAGTGTCTTTATACACTTTACATACATCGTTTGTATTACAACTTTCTATAGATTTTTATTTTATACCACAAAAGTGGCAAACAAGTATACAGCTAGTCTCATGGTAAATAATTACAAACACTTAAGGTGTTACATACATACTGCTTAACCTGAAGATATGTTAATATGCCATTTTTGAAGAACTGCAAACAAAATAAAAAAAAAAAAAACCTCACCAAGGAGTTCATGTCTGCAATCAGTAGCCTGTATCCATCTTTGGTTCTATACTATAAAACTAACTAACTAACTATCAAAACGTTTATTATATCTAGATAGGAAAAACCTCAAAATAATAATAGGGACAATAATGGCCCATTGTCCATTAAACAAACATTTATACACAATAAGAGCCACAGACAGCCCTCTATGTCGAGACTGTTTCGACGCCGAAGAAACGGCTACTCACGTGATCCTGGGATGTGAAGCTCTGGCCCATCAACGTTTAGAAATCCTCGGAACGTTGAGGTTGCTCGGTGAGGCCTGTTAAGATCCCAGGAAGTTTCTGTGTGTCTGGGCGGAGCTAGGTTGGCTGTACTAGCCACGACTCATACGCATAACGGCCTAAATGAGAGCATGGCAAATAGAGTCCTATTTACATTACAGGAGTTCATGTCACAATTCCAGCATTTGTGAGAGAAAACTCCTCTGAAACTGTGTTTTAAACGAATATTTGGTCCCCTTGCATCCTAAAAACTAATTAGTTTTTAGGATTTGAGGATGAGAACCCTGTTAAAAGCGAGTGATGGATGATAAAAAGTTGACTGTCGATTCATAAGATATAATTTTTGTTGTGTTTGTGTGATAATTAGATTCGATGCTGGGCATAAAGGTATATATAATGACTTGTTACCATAGTCAGATTCTGACCCAATTCAACTTTTTTTTTTTTTATACATCTTAGAATGGCAAACAAGCTGACGGCCCACCTGATGGAAAGTGGTAACCGTCGCCTATAGACATGAGCAGTACCATGGACATAACAGAGTATACCGTTTCCCCCATGATGCCCCCTATGCGTTGCCATTCCTGAGGACTCAGGTGTTATTCCTCTGTACCCAGCAAATTCACGCCATATCCCACCCTTCAAACCGAAACACAGCCATGCAAACACAACTGCTTCACAGTTGAAACACGAATGGGACAGAGGTACCCATGCAATCGACTTTTGTACAAAGTCTCCCTCTGGCTTACAGCATAGATGCATACATGTGCGCAAGTTCATGACAGTTTTCAAATGAAATTTTTTTGAATAACAGTTAACAGTCGACAATCAATCTAGGCATACAAAAAATGAAGCAATATCCATTTTATGCATAATGTTTTCGTGGCCTAACGTGGCATAAATGACAGGGCAAGGCCCCTTATGTATCATTGTATATTGGGGCCTTGACGTATACAAAGTGATGCATAAGGCGGGTCCCATAAAATCGGTGTAATAGAGACGAATTGCTATCAAACTCACATACTCAATACATGTTTAACAACGTCTGCATTATTCATTCCATCGGCACAACACGTTCACGGCCACGGTAGTGGGAGATCGTTGGATGCAAAACGGGTTGTATATATTGCAGATATTATCTTAGTAATGTAATAAAATTGTAACTAGACGATGTTTGTACATGGGAGATGTTTAAGAAAAATTAATATGAGGGGACTTAAGAGCATTAGGAACCAAAATTATAATTTTTAGAAGTTTTATACGTCTATGTATCTGTTTGTTTAAGTTTGTTCCATCATAACGCAAAAATTACTACACAAATTGGATGCGGTTTTCATAACTGTGTTCCTGAAGATCTAACTTAAAACTGGTGTTTATTTTACTTTCATACGCTATCTAAGAGTGGTCTATTTCATTGGTCTTCCTACTTTTGATTACCACGCGTACAAAATAGCGAGCAAAAAGCTAGTTCATGATAAATATATCACGCCAGAGCTGTTTGTTGGTATTTTCCGTCATGTATAACCTTCACTGGAGATGCAGTATGACTGAGATGCTTAAATCTGTGTGCACATTGGCGTACCCATTTTAAGCAAGTTTTAAAAAAGGTTTCAAAGAGTTCCCAATTTGCTTTTTCATTTCGTTATACAAAATAACGTTGCCATATTTGAACCAATTTT